AGCACTGATTTGATGGATCAGTCGCCCATGTTTAGTCGTCCCATAGATGTGTCTTTTGTTATATATAGAAAATATAATTCCACTGCATTGCTCACCAGGGGCCTGGTTGCTTTGCGCCGTTTAAATTGACTAGCGTGATCGAATACCAACACCACATCCACGTTGCTCGATAGTGAAATGAATGCAACTAAGCGAATGCAGACAGCAGATGTAGTCTGAGCTCGTGATCGTACGAGTGGGAGTAGATCCTGCGAGCGATTGATTCGTGCAGTTCGTGTCGACTGTGTTTGTGAAGCGCGATGGGTGGGTTGGTCTTTTTTTTTTGACGGCTTGGTGTGAGATGTCCTTTCTGCGCGCGGGTAGCTCAGTGGTAGAGCGTTCGATTGCAGCTCGAATGGTCGCTGGTTCAATCCCGGTCTCGCGCTTGTTGTTGCTCTCACCATTGCCCGCTTGGTCGGATGTTCTGCGATTGTTGGGCTTCGAACGTCAAGAAGTGGTGGCATTGCATGACCCTCTCACCCTTGCTTTGCTTGTGGCTGTTGTCCACCGGTGGCCCAGTCGATTCAGCAATGCGCTCAAGGTGCATTCCACCTCTCTGTTGGTTTCGATGAACTAGCACTGATTTGGATGGATCGTCGCCCAAGCTTATCGTCTCATGATGTGTCTTTGTTAAGTATCTATTTCCACTGCATTGCTCACCAGGGTTGCTTTGCGCCGTTTAAATTGACTAGCGTGATCGAATACCAACACCACATCCACGTTGCTCGATAGTGAAATGAATGCAACTAAGCGAATGCAGACAGCAGATGTAGTCTGAGCTCGTGATCGTACGAGTGGGAGTAGATCCTGCGAGCGATTGATTCGTGCAGTTCGTGTCGACTGTGTTTGTGAAGCGCGATGGGTGGGTTGGTCTTTTTTTTTTTTTGACGGCTTGGTGTGAGATGTCCTTTCTGCGCGCGGGTAGCTCAGTGGTAGAGCGTTCGATTGCAGCTCGAATGGTCGCTGGTTCAATCCCGGTCTCGCGCTTGTTGTTGCTCTCACCATTGCCCGCTTGGTCGGATGTTCTGCGATTGTTGGGCTTCGAACGTCAAGAAGTGGTGGCATTGCATGACCCTCTCACCCTTGCTTTGCTTGTGGCTGTTGTCCACCGGTGGCCCAGTCGATTCAGCAATGCGCTCAAGGTGCATTCCACCTCTCTGTTGGTTTCGATGAACTAGCACTGATTTGGATGGATCGTCGCCCAAGCTTATCGTCTCATGATGTGTCTTTGTTAAGTATATATTTCCACTGCATTGCTCACCAGGGTTGCTTTGCGCCGTTTAAATTGACTAGCGTGATCGAATACCAACACCACATCCACGTTGCTCGATAGTGAAATGAATGCAACTAAGCGAATGCAGACAGCAGATGTAGTCTGAGCTCGTGATCGTACGAGTGGGAGTAGATCCTGCGAGCGATTGATTCGTGCAGTTCGTGTCGACTGTGTTTGTGAAGCGCGATGGGTGGGTTGGTCTTTTTTTTTTGACGGCTTGGTGTGTGATGTCCTTTCTGCGCGCGGGTAGCTCAGTGGTAGAGCGTTCGATTGCAGCTCGAATGGTCGCTGGTTCAATCCCGGTCTCGCGCTTGTTGTTGCTCTCATCATTGCCCGCTTGGTCGGATGTTCTGCGATTGTTGGGCTTCGAACGTCAAGAAGTGGTGGCATTGCATGACCCTCTCACCCTTGCTTTGCTTGTGGCTGTTGTCCACCGGTGGCCCAGTCGATTCAGCAATGCGCTCAAGGTGCATTCCACCTCTCTGTTGGTTTCGATGAACTAGCACTGATTTGGATGGATCGTCGCCCAAGCTTATCGTCTCATGATGTGTCTTTGTTAAGTATATATTTCCACTGCATTGCTCACCAGGGTTGCTTTGCGCCGTTTAAATTGACTAGCGTGATCGAATACCAACACCACATCCACGTTGCTCGATAGTGAAATGAATGCAACTAAGCGAATGCAGACAGCAGATGTAGTCTGAGCTCGTGATCGTACGAGTGGGAGTAGATCCTGCGAGCGATTGATTCGTGCAGTTCGTGTCGACTGTGTTTGTGAAGCGCGATGGGTGGGTTGGTCTTTTTTTTTTTGACGGCTTGGTGTGTGATGTCCTTTCTGCGCGCGGGTAGCTCAGTGGTAGAGCGTTCGATTGCAGCTCGAATGGTCGCTGGTTCAATCCCGGTCTCGCGCTTGTTGTTGCTCTCACCATTGCCCGCTTGGTCGGATGTTCTGCGATTGTTGGGCTTCGAACGTCAAGAAGTGGTGGCATTGCATGACCCTCTCACCCTTGCTTTGCTTGTGGCTGTTGTCCACCGGTGGCCCAGTCGATTCAGCAATGCGCTCAAGGTGCATTCCACCTCTCTGTTGGTTTCGATGAACTAGCACTGATTTGGATGGATCGTCGCCCAAGCTTATCGTCTCATGATGTGTCTTTGTTAAGTTTCTATTTCCACTGCATTGGTCGAACCCACCTGGGTTGCTTTGCGCCGTTTAAATTGACTAGCGTGATCGAATACCAACACCACATCCACGTTGCTCGATAGTGAAATGAATGCAACTAAGGGAATGCAGACAGCAGACGTAGTCTGAGCTCGTGATCGTACGAGTGGGAGTAGATCCTGCGAGCGATTGATTCGTGCAGTTCGTGTCGACTGTGTTTGTGAAGCGCGATGGGTGGGTTGGTCTTTTGTTTTTTGACGGCTTGGTGTGAGATGTCCTTTCTGCGCGCGGGTAGCTCAGTGGTAGAGCGTTCGATTGCAGCTCGAATGGTCGCTGGTTCAATCCCGGTCTCGCGCTTGTTGTTGCTCTCACCATTGCCCGCTTGGTCGGATGTTCTGCGATTGTTGGGCTTCGAACGTCAAGAAGTGGTGGCATTGCATGACCCTCTCACCCTTGCTTTGCTTGTGGCTGTTGTCCACCGGTGGCCCAGTCGATTCAGCAATGCGCTCAAGGTGCATTCCACCTCTCTGTTGGTTTCGATGAACTAGCACTGATTTGGATGGATCGTCGCCCAAGCTTATCGTCTCATGATGTGTCTTTGTTAAGTTTCTATTTCCACTGCATTGGTCGAACCCACCTGGGTTGCTTTGCGCCGTTTAAATTGACTAGCGTGATCGAATACCAACACCACATCCACGTTGCTCGATAGTGAAATGAATGCAACTAAGCGAATGCAGACAGCAGATGTAGTCTGAGCTCGTGATCGTACGAGTGGGAGTAGATCCTGCGAGCGATTGATTCGTGCAGTTCGTGTCGACTGTGTTTGTGAAGCGCGATGGGTGGGTTGGTCTTTTTTTTTTGACGGCTTGGTGTGAGATGTCCTTTCTGCGCGCGGGTAGCTCAGTGGTAGAGCGTTCGATTGCAGCTCGAATGGTCGCTGGTTCAATCCCGGTCTCGCGCTTGTTGTTGCTCTCACCATTGCCCGCTTGGTCGGATGTTCTGCGATTGTTGGGCTTCGAACGTCAAGAAGTGGTGGCATTGCATGACCCTCTCACCCTTGCTTTGCTTGTGGCTGTTGTCCACCGGTGGCCCAGTCGATTCAGCAATGCGCTCAAGGTGCATTCCACCTCTCTGTTGGTTTCGATGAACTAGCACTGATTTGGATGGATCGTCGCCCAAGCTTATCGTCTCATGATGTGTCTTTGTTAAGTATATATTTCCACTGCATTGCTCACCCAGGGTTGCTTTGCGCCGTTTAAATTGACTAGCGTGATCGAATACCAACACCACATCCACGTTGCTCGATAGTGAAATGAATGCAACTAAGCGAATGCAGACAGCAGATGTAGTCTGAGCTCGTGATCGTACGAGTGGGAGTAGATCCTGCGAGCGATTGATTCGTGCAGTTCGTGTCGACTGTGTTTGTGAAGCGCGATGGGTGGGTTGGTCTTTTTTTTTTGACGGCTTGGTGTGAGATGTCCTTTCTGCGCGCGGGTAGCTCAGTGGTAGAGCGTTCGATTGCAGCTCGAATGGTCGCTGGTTCAATCCCGGTCTCGCGCTTGTTGTTGCTCTCACCATTGCCCGCTTGGTCGGATGTTCTGCGATTGTTGGGCTTCGAACGTCAAGAAGTGGTGGCATTGCATGACCCTCTCACCCTTGCTTTGCTTGTGGCTGTTGTCCACCGGTGGCCCAGTCGATTCAGCAATGCGCTCAAGGTGCATTCCACCTCTCTGTTGGTTTCGATGAACTAGCACTGATTTGGATGGATCGTCGCCCAAGCTTATCGTCTCATGATGTGTCTTTGTTAAGTATATATTTCCACTGCATTGCTCACCAGGGTTGCTTTGCGCCGTTTAAATTGACTAGCGTGATCGAATACCAACACCACATCCACGTTGCTCGATAGTGAAATGAATGCAACTAAGCGAATGCAGACAGCAGATGTAGTCTGAGCTCGTGATCGTACGAGTGGGAGTAGATCCTGCGAGCGATTGATTCGTGCAGTTCGTGTCGACTGTGTTTGTGAAGCGCGATGGGTGGGTTGGTCTTTTTTTTTTGACGGCTTGGTGTGAGATGTCCTTTCTGCGCGCGGGTAGCTCAGTGGTAGAGCGTTCGATTGCAGCTCGAATGGTCGCTGGTTCAATCCCGGTCTCGCGCTTGTTGTTGCTCTCACCATTGCCCGCTTGGTCGGATGTTCTGCGATTGTTGGGCTTCGAACGTCAAGAAGTGGTGGCATTGCATGACCCTCTCACCCTTGCTTTGCTTGTGGCTGTTGTCCACCGGTGGCCCAGTCGATTCAGCAATGCGCTCAAGGTGCATTCCACCTCTCTGTTGGTTTCGATGAACTAGCACTGATTTGGATGGATCGTCGCCCAAGCTTATCGTCTCATGATGTGTCTTTGTTAAGTTATCTATTTCCACTGCATTGCTCACCAGGGTTGCTTTGCGCCGTTTAAATTGACTAGCGTGATCGAATACCAACACCACATCCACGTTGCTCGATAGTGAAATGAATGCAACTAAGCGAATGCAGACAGCAGATGTAGTCTGAGCTCGTGATCGTACGAGTGGGAGTAGATCCTGCGAGCGATTGATTCGTGCAGTTCGTGTCGACTGTGTTTGTGAAGCGCGATGGGTGGGTTGGTCTTTTTTTTTGACGGCTTGGTGTGAGATGTCCTTTCTGCGCGCGGGTAGCTCAGTGGTAGAGCGTTCGATTGCAGCTCGAATGGTCGCTGGTTCAATCCCGGTCTCGCGCTTGTTGTTGCTCTCACCATTGCCCGCTTGGTCGGATGTTCTGCGATTGTTGGGCTTCGAACGTCAAGAAGTGGTGGCATTGCATGACCCTCTCACCCTTGCTTTGCTTGTGGCTGTTGTCCACCGGTGGCCCAGTCGATTCAGCAATGCGCTCAAGGTGCATTCCACCTCTCTGTTGGTTTCGATGAACTAGCACTGATTTGGATGGATCGTCGCCCAAGCTTATCGTCTCATGATGTGTCTTTGTTAAGTATATATTTCCACTGCATTGCTCACCACCGGGTTGCTTTGCGCCGTTTAAATTGACTAGCGTGATCGAATACCAACACCACATCCACGTTGCTCGATAGTGAAATGAATGCAACTAAGCGAATGCAGACAGCAGATGTAGTCTGAGCTCGTGATCGTACGAGTGGGAGTAGATCCTGCGAGCGATTGATTCGTGCAGTTCGTGTCGACTGTGTTTGTGAAGCGCGATGGGTGGGTTGGTCTTTTTTTTTTGACGGCTTGGTGTGAGATGTCCTTTCTGCGCGCGGGTAGCTCAGTGGTAGAGCGTTCGATTGCAGCTCGAATGGTCGCTGGTTCAATCCCGGTCTCGCGCTTGTTGTTGCTCTCACCATTGCCCGCTTGGTCGGATGTTCTGCGATTGTTGGGCTTCGAACGTCAAGAAGTGGTGGCATTGCATGACCCTCTCACCCTTGCTTTGCTTGTGGCTGTTGTCCACCGGTGGCCCAGTCGATTCAGCAATGCGCTCAAGGTGCATTCCACCTCTCTGTTGGTTTCGATGAACTAGCACTGATTTGGATGGATCGTCGCCCAAGCTTATCGTCTCATGATGTGTCTTTGTTAAGTATATATTTCCACTGCATTGCTCACCAGGGTTGCTTTGCGCCGTTTAAATTGACTAGCGTGATCGAATACCAACACCACATCCACGTTGCTCGATAGTGAAATGAATGCAACTAAGCGAATGCAGACAGCAGATGTAGTCTGAGCTCGTGATCGTACGAGTGGGAGTAGATCCTGCGAGCGATTGATTCGTGCAGTTCGTGTCGACTGTGTTTGTGAAGCGCGATGGGTGGGTTGGTCTTTTGTTTTTTGACGGCTTGGTGTGAGATGTCCTTTCTGCGCGCGGGTAGCTCAGTGGTAGAGCGTTCGATTGCAGCTCGAATGGTCGCTGGTTCAATCCCGGTCTCGCGCTTGTTGTTGCTCTCACCATTGCCCGCTTGGTCGGATGTTCTGCGATTGTTGGGCTTCGAACGTCAAGAAGTGGTGGCATTGCATGACCCTCTCACCCTTGCTTTGCTTGTGGCTGTTGTCCACCGGTGGCCCAGTCGATTCAGCAATGCGCTCAAGGTGCATTCCACCTCTCTGTTGGTTTCGATGAACTAGCACTGATTTGGATGGATCGTCGCCCAAGCTTATCGTCTCATGATGTGTCTTTGTTAAGTATATATTTCCACTGCATTGCTCACCAGGGTTGCTTTGCGCCGTTTAAATTGACTAGCGTGATCGAATACCAACACCACATCCACGTTGCTCGATAGTGAAATGAATGCAACTAAGCGAATGCAGACAGCAGATGTAGTCTGAGCTCGTGATCGTACGAGTGGGAGTAGATCCTGCGAGCGATTGATTCGTGCAGTTCGTGTCGACTGTGTTTGTGAAGCGCGATGGGTGGGTTGGTCTTTTTTTTTTTTGACGGCTTGGTGTGAGATGTCCTTTCTGCGCGCGGGTAGCTCAGTGGTAGAGCGTTCGATTGCAGCTCGAATGGTCGCTGGTTCAATCCCGGTCTCGCGCTTGTTGTTGCTCTCACCATTGCCCGCTTGGTCGGATGTTCTGCGATTGTTGGGCTTCGAACGTCAAGAAGTGGTGGCATTGCATGACCCTCTCACCCTTGCTTTGCTTGTGGCTGTTGTCCACCGGTGGCCCAGTCGATTCAGCAATGCGCTCAAGGTGCATTCCACCTCTCTGTTGGTTTCGATGAACTAGCACTGATTTGGATGGATCGTCGCCCAAGCTTATCGTCTCATGATGTGTCTTTGTTAAGTTTCTATTTCCACTGCATTGCTCACCAGGGTTGCTTTGCGCCGTTTAAATTGACTAGCGTGATCGAATACCAACACCACATCCACGTTGCTCGATAGTGAAATGAATGCAACTAAGCGAATGCAGACAGCAGATGTAGTCTGAGCTCGTGATCGTACGAGTGGGAGTAGATCCTGCGAGCGATTGATTCGTGCAGTTCGTGTCGACTGTGTTTGTGAAGCGCGATGGGTGGGTTGGTCTTTTTTTTTTTTGACGGCTTGGTGTGAGATGTCCTTTCTGCGCGCGGGTAGCTCAGTGGTAGAGCGTTCGATTGCAGCTCGAATGGTCGCTGGTTCAATCCCGGTCTCGCGCTTGTTGTTGCTCTCACCATTGCCCGCTTGGTCGGATGTTCTGCGATTGTTGGGCTTCGAACGTCAAGAAGTGGTGGCATTGCATGACCCTCTCACCCTTGCTTTGCTTGTGGCTGTTGTCCACCGGTGGCCCAGTCGATTCAGCAATGCGCTCAAGGTGCATTCCACCTCTCTGTTGGTTTCGATGAACTAGCACTGATTTGGATGGATCGTCGCCCAAGCTTATCGTCTCATGATGTGTCTTTGTTAAGTTTCTATTTCCACTGCATTGGTCAACCACCTGGGTTGCTTTGCGCCGTTTAAATTGACTAGCGTGATCGAATACCAACACCACATCCACGTTGCTCGATAGTGAAATGAATGCAACTAAGGGAATGCAGACAGCAGACGTAGTCTGAGCTCGTGATCGTACGAGTGGGAGTAGATCCTGCGAGCGATTGATTCGTGCAGTTCGTGTCGACTGTGTTTGTGAAGCGCGATGGGTGGGTTGGTCTTTTTTTTTTGACGGCTTGGTGTGAGATGTCCTTTCTGCGCGCGGGTAGCTCAGTGGTAGAGCGTTCGATTGCAGCTCGAATGGTCGCTGGTTCAATCCCGGTCTCGCGCTTGTTGTTGCTCTCACCATTGCCCGCTTGGTCGGATGTTCTGCGATTGTTGGGCTTCGAACGTCAAGAAGTGGTGGCATTGCATGACCCTCTCACCCTTGCTTTGCTTGTGGCTGTTGTCCACCGGTGGCCCAGTCGATTCAGCAATGCGCTCAAGGTGCATTCCACCTCTCTGTTGGTTTCGATGAACTAGCACTGATTTGGATGGATCGTCGCCCAAGCTTATCGTCTCATGATGTGTCTTTGTTAAGTATCTATTTCCACTGCATTGCTCACCAGGGTTGCTTTGCGCCGTTTAAATTGACTAGCGTGATCGAATACCAACACCACATCCACGTTGCTCGATAGTGAAATGAATGCAACTAAGCGAATGCAGACAGCAGATGTAGTCTGAGCTCGTGATCGTACGAGTGGGAGTAGATCCTGCGAGCGATTGATTCGTGCAGTTCGTGTCGACTGTGTTTGTGAAGCGCGATGGGTGGGTTGGTCTTTTTTTTTGACGGCTTGGTGTGAGATGTCCTTTCTGCGCGCGGGTAGCTCAGTGGTAGAGCGTTCGATTGCAGCTCGAATGGTCGCTGGTTCAATCCCGGTCTCGCGCTTGTTGTTGCTCTCACCATTGCCCGCTTGGTCGGATGTTCTGCGATTGTTGGGCTTCGAACGTCAAGAAGTGGTGGCATTGCATGACCCTCTCACCCTTGCTTTGCTTGTGGCTGTTGTCCACCGGTGGCCCAGTCGATTCAGCAATGCGCTCAAGGTGCATTCCACCTCTCTGTTGGTTTCGATGAACTAGCACTGATTTGGATGGATCGTCGCCCAAGCTTATCGTCTCATGATGTGTCTTTGTTAAGTTTCTATTTCCACTGCATTGGTCGAACCCACCTGGGTTGCTTTGCGCCGTTTAAATTGACTAGCGTGATCGAATACCAACACCACATCCACGTTGCTCGATAGTGAAATGAATGCAACTAAGGGAATGCAGACAGCAGATGTAGTCTGAGCTCGTGATCGTACGAGTGGGAGTAGATCCTGCGAGCGATTGATTCGTGCAGTTCGTGTCGACTGTGTTTGTGAAGCGCGATGGGTGGGTTGGTCTTTTTTTTTGACGGCTTGGTGTGAGATGTCCTTTCTGCGCGCGGGTAGCTCAGTGGTAGAGCGTTCGATTGCAGCTCGAATGGTCGCTGGTTCAATCCCGGTCTCGCGCTTGTTGTTGCTCTCATCATTGCCCGCTTGGTCGGATGTTCTGCGATTGTTGGGCTTCGAACGTCAAGAAGTGGTTGCATTGCATGACCCTCTCACCCTTGCTTTGCTTGTGGCTGTTGTCCACCGGTGGCCCAGTCGATTCAGCTATGCGCTCAAGGTGCATTCCACCTCTCTGTTGGTTCCGATGAACTAGCACTGATTTGGATGGATCGTCGCCCAAGCTTATCGTCTCATGATGTGTCTTTGTTAAGTTTCTATTTCCACTGCATTGCTCACCAGGGTTGCTTTGCGCCGTTTAAATTGACTAGCGTGATCGAATACCAACACCACATCCACGTTGCTCGATAGTGAAATGAATGCAACTAAGGGAATGCAGACAGCAGACGTAGTCTGAGCTCGTGATCGTACGAGTGGGAGTAGATCCTGCGAGCGATTGATTCGTGCAGTTCGTGTCGACTGTGTTTGTGAAGCGCGATGGGTGGGTTGGTCTTTTTTTTGACGGCTTGGTGTGAGATGTCCTTTCTGCGCGCGGGTAGCTCAGTGGTAGAGCGTTCGATTGCAGCTCGAATGGTCGCTGGTTCAATCCCGGTCTCGCGCTTGTTGTTGCTCTCATCATTGCCCGCTTGGTCGGATGTTCTGCGATTGTTGGGCTTCGAACGTCAAGAAGTGGTTGCATTGCATGACCCTCTCACCCTTGCTTTGCTTGTGGCTGTTGTCCACCGGTGGCCCAGTCGATTCAGCAATGCGCTCAAGGTGCATTCCACCTCTCTGTTGGTTTCCGATGAACTAGCACTGATTTGGATGGATCGTCGCCCAAGCTTATCGTCTCATGATGTGTCTTTGTTAAGTTTCTATTTCCACTGCATTGCTCACCAGGGTTGCTTTGCGCCGTTTAAATTGACTAGCGTGATCGAATACCAACACCACATCCACGTTGCTCGATAGTGAAATGAATGCAACTAAGGGAATGCAGACAGCAGACGTAGTCTGAGCTCGTGATCGTACGAGTGGGAGTAGATCCTGCGAGCGATTGATTCGTGCAGTTCGTGTCGACTGTGTTTGTGAAGCGCGATGGGTGGGTTGGTCTTTTGTTTTTTGACGGCTTGGTGTGAGATGTCCTTTCTGCGCGCGGGTAGCTCAGTGGTAGAGCGTTCGATTGCAGCTCGAATGGTCGCTGGTTCAATCCCGGTCTCGCGCTTGTTGTTGCTCTCACCATTGCCCGCTTGGTCGGATGTTCTGCGATTGTTGGGCTTCGAACGTCAAGAAGTGGTTGCATTGCATGACCCTCTCACCCTTGCTTTGCTTGTGGCTGTTGTCCACCGGTGGCCCAGTCGATTCAGCTATGCGCTCAAGGTGCATTCCACCTCTCTGTTGGTTCCGATGAACTAGCACTGATTTGGATGGATCGTCGCCCAAGCTTATCGTCTCATGATGTGTCTTTGTTAAGTTTCTATTTCCACTGCATTGCTCACCAGGGTTGCTTTGCGCCGTTTAAATTGACTAGCGTGATCGAATACCAACACCACATCCACGTTGCTCGATAGTGAAATGAATGCAACTAAGGGAATGCAGACAGCAGACGTAGTCTGAGCTCGTGATCGTACGAGTGGGAGTAGATCCTGCGAGCGATTGATTCGTGCAGTTCGTGTCGACTGTGTTTGTGAAGCGCGATGGGTGGGTTGGTCTTTTTTTTGTGACGGCTTGGTGTGAGATGTCCTTTCTGCGCGCGGGTAGCTCAGTGGTAGAGCGTTCGATTGCAGCTCGAATGGTCGCTGGTTCAATCCCGGTCTCGCGCTTGTTGTTGCTCTCACCATTGCCCGCTTGGTCGGATGTTCTGCGATTGTCAGGCTTCGAACGTCAAGAAGTGGTTGCATTGCATGACCCTCTCACCCTTGCTTTGCTTGTGGCTGTTGTCCACCGGTGGCCCAGTCGATTCAGCAATGCGCTCAAGGTGCATTCCACCTCTCTGTTGGTTTCCGATGAACTAGCACTGATTTGGATGGATCGTCGCCCAAGCTTATCGTCTCATGATGTGTCTTTGTTAAGTTTCTATTTCCACTGCATTGCTCACCAGGGTTGCTTTGCGCCGTTTAAATTGACTAGCGTGATCGAATACCAACACCACATCCACGTTGCTCGATAGTGAAATGAATGCAACTAAGGGAATGCAGACAGCAGACGTAGTCTGAGCTCGTGATCGTACGAGTGGGAGTAGATCCTGCGAGCGATTGATTCGTGCAGTTCGTGTCGACTGTGTTTGTGAAGCGCGATGGGTGGGTTGGTCTTTTTTTTGTGACGGCTTGGTGTGTGATGTCCTTTCTGCGCGCGGGTAGCTCAGTGGTAGAGCGTTCGATTGCAGCTCGAATGGTCGCTGGTTCAATCCCGGTCTCGCGCTTGTTGTTGCTCTCATCATTGCCCGCTTGGTCGGATGTTCTGCGATTGTTGGGCTTCGAACGTCAAGAAGTGGTTGCATTGCAGGACCCTCTCACCCTTGCTTTGCTTGTGGCTGTTGTCCACCGGTGGCCCAGTCGATTCAGCAATGCGCTCAAGGTGCATTCCACCTCTCTGTTGGTTTCGATGAACTAGCACTGATTTGGATGGATCGTCGCCCAAGCTTATCGTCTCATGATGTGTCTTTGTTAAGTTTCTATTTCCACTGCATTGCTCACCACGGGTTGCTTTGCGCCGTTTAAATTGACTAGCGTGATCGAATACCAACACCACATCCACGTTGCTCGATAGTGAAATGAATGCAACTAAGGGAATGCAGACAGCAGACGTAGTCTGAGCTCGTGATCGTACTAGTGGGAGTAGATCCTGCGAGCGATTGATTCGTGCAGTTCGTGTCGACTGTGATTGTGAAGCGCGATGGGTGGGTTGGTCTTTTTTTGTGACGGCTTGGTGTGAGATGTCCTTTCTGCGCGCGGGTAGCTCAGTGGTAGAGCGTTCGATTGCAGCTCGAATGGTCGCTGGTTCAATCCCGGTCTCGCGCTTGTTGTTGCTCTCACCATTGCCCGCTTGGTCGGATGTTCTGCGATTGTTGGGCTTCGAACGTCAAGAAGTGGTTGCATTGCATGACCCTCTCACCCTTGCTTTGCTTGTGGCTGTTGTCCACCGGTGGCCCAGTCGATTCAGCAATGCGCTCAAGGTGCATTCCACCTCTCTGTTGGTTTCCGATGAACTAGCACTGATTTGGATGGATCGTCGCCCAAGCTTATCGTCTCATGATGTGTCTTTGTTAAGTTTCTATTTCCACTGCATTGGTCGAACCCACCTGGGTTGCTTTGCGCCGTTTAAATTGACTAGCGTGATCGAATACCAACACCACATCCACGTTGCTCGATAGTGAAATGAATGCAACTAAGGGAATGCAGACAGCAGACGTAGTCTGAGCTCGTGATCGTACGAGTGGGAGTAGATCCTGCGAGCGATTGATTCGTGCAGTTCGTGTCGACTGTGTTTGTGAAGCGCGATGGGTGGGTTGGTCTTTTTTTTGTGACGGCTTGGTGTGAGATGTCCTTTCTGCGCGCGGGTAGCTCAGTGGTAGAGCGTTCGATTGCAGCTCGAATGGTCGCTGGTTCAATCCCGGTCTCGCGCTTGTTGATGCTCTCACCATTGCCCGCTTGGTCGGATGTTCTGCGATTGTTAGGCTTCGAACGTCAAGAAGTGGTTGCATTGCATGACCCTCTCACCCTTGCTTTGCTTGTGGCTGTTGTCCACCGGTGGCCCAGTCGATTCAGCAATGCGCTCAAGGTGCATTCCACCTCTCTGTTTGTTTCGATGAACTAGCACTGATTTGGATGGATCGTCGCCCAAGCTTATCGTCTCATGATGTGTCTTTGTTAAGTTTCTATTTCCACTGCATTGGTCGAACCCACCTGGGTTGCTTTGCGCCGTTTAAATTGACTAGCGTGATCGAATACCAACACCACATCCACGTTGCTCGATAGTGAAATGAATGCAACTAAGGGAATGCAGACAGCAGACGTAGTCTGAGCTCGTGATCGTACGAGTGGGAGTAGATCCTGCGAGCGATTGATTCGTGCAGTTCGTGTCGACTGTGTTTGTGAAGCGCGATGGGTGGGTTGGTCTTTTTTTGTGACGGCTTGGTGTGAGATGTCCTTTCTGCGCGCGGGTAGCTCAGTGGTAGAGCGTTCGATTGCAGCTCGAATGGTCGCTGGTTCAATCCCGGTCTCGCGCTTGTTGTTGCTCTCATCATTGCCCGCTTGGTCGGATGTTCTGCGATTGTTGGGCTTCGAACGTCAAGAAGTGGTTGCATTGCATGACCCTCTCACCCTTGCTTTGCTTGTGGCTGTTGTCCACCGGTGGCCCAGTCGATTCAGCAATGCGCTCAAGGTGCATTCCACCTCTCTGTTGGTTTCGATGAACTAGCACTGATTTGGATGGATCGTCGCCCAAGCTTATCGTCTCATGATGTGTCTTTGTTAAGTTTCTATTTCCACTGCATTGGCTCACCCACCTGGGTTGCTTTGCGCCGTTTAAATTGACTAGCGTGATCGAATACCAACACCACATCCACGTTGCTCGATAGTGAAATGAATGCAACTAAGGGAATGCAGACAGCAGACGTAGTCTGAGCTCGTGATCGTACTAGTGGGAGTAGATCCTGCGAGCGATTGATTCGTGCAGGTCGTGTCGACTGTGATTGTGAAGCGCGATGGGTGGGTTGGTCTTTTTTGTGACGGCTTGGTGTGAGATGTCCTTTCTGCGCGCGGGTAGCTCAGTGGTAGAGCGTTCGATTGCAGCTCGAATGGTCGCTGGTTCAATCCCGGTCTCGCGCTTGTTGTTGCTCTCATCATTGCCCGCTTGGTCGGATGTTCTGCGATTGTCAGGCTTCGAACGTCAAGAAGTGGTTGCATTGCATGACCCTCTCACCCTTGCTTTGCTTGTGGCTGTTGTCCACCGGTGGCCCAGTCGATTCAGCAATGCGCTCAAGGTGCATTCCACCTCTCTGTTGGTTTCGATGAACTAGCACTGATTTGGATGGATCGTCGCCCAAGCTTATCGTCTCATGATGTGTCTTTGTTAAATTTCTATTTCCACTGCATTGCTCACTAGGGTTGCTTTGCGCCGTTTAAATTGACTAGCGTGATCGAATACCAACACCACATCCACGTTGCTCGATAGTGAAATGAATGCAGCTAAGGGAATGCAGACAGCAGATGTAGTCTGAGCTCGTGATCGTACGAGTGGGAGTAGATCCTGCGAGCGATTGATTCGTGCAGTTCGTGTCGACTGTGTTTGTGAAGCGCGATGGGTGGGTTGGTCTTTTTTTGTGACGGCTTGGTGTGAGATGTCCTTTCTGCGCGCGGGTAGCTCAGTGGTAGAGCGTTCGATTGCAGCTCGAATGGTCGCTGGTTCAATCCCGGTCTCGCGCTTGTTGTTGCTCTCATCATTGCCCGCTTGGTCGGATGTTCTGCGATTGTTAGGCTTCGAACGTCAAGAAGTGGTTGCATTGCATGACCCTCTCACCCTTGCTTTGCTTGTGGCTGTTGTCCACCGGTGGCCCAGTCGATTCAGCAATGCGCTCAAGGTGCATTCCACCTCTCTGTTGGTTCCGATGAACTAGCACTGATTTGGATGGATCGTCGCCCAAGCTTATCGTCTCATGATGTGTCTTTGTTAAGTTTCTATTTCCACTGCATTGGTCGAACCCACCTGGGTTGCTTTGCGCCGTTTAAATTGACTAGCGTGATCGAATACCAACACCACATCCACGTTGCTCGATAGTGAAATGAATGCAACTAAGGGAATGCAGACAGCAGACGTAGTCTGAGCTCGTGATCGTACGAGTGGGAGTAGATCCTGCGAGCGATTGATTCGTGCAGTTCGTGTCGACTGTGTTTGTGAAGCGCGATGGGTGGGTTGGTCTTTTTTGTGACGGCTTGGTGTGAGATGTCCTTTCTGCGCGCGGGTAGCTCAGTGGTAGAGCGTTCGATTGCAGCTCGAATGGTCGCTGGTTCAATCCCGGTCTCGCGCTTGTTGTTGCTCTCATCATTGCCCGCTTGGTCGGATGTTCTGCGATTGTTGGGCTTCGAACGTCAAGAAGTGGTTGCATTGCATGACCCTCTCACCCTTGCTTTGCTTGTGGCTGTTGTCCACCGGTGGCCCAGTCGATTCAGCAATGCGCTCAAGGTGCATTCCACCTCTCTGTTGGTTCCGATGAACTAGCACTGATTTGGATGGATCGTCGCCCAAGCTTATCGTCTCATGATGTGTCCTTGTTAAGTTTCTATTTCCACTGCATTGCTCACCAGGGTTGCTTTGCGCCGTTTAAATTGACTAGCGTGATCGAATACCAACACCACATCCACGTTGCTCGATAGTGAAATGAATGCAACTAAGGGAATGCAGACAGCAGACGTAGTCTGAGCTCGTGATCGTACGAGTGGGAGTAGATCCTGCGAGCGATTGATTCGTGCAGTTCGTGTCGACTGTGATTGTGAAGCGCGATGGGTGGGTTGGTCTTTTTTGTGACGGCTTGGTGTGAGATGTCCTTTCTGCGCGCGGGTAGCTCAGTGGTAGAGCGTTCGATTGCAGCTCGAAGGGTCACTGGTTCAATCCCGGTCCCGCGCTTGTTGTTGCTCTCACATCATTGCCCGCTTGGTCGGATGTTCTGCGATTGTTAGGCTTCGAACGTCAAGAAGTGGTTGCATTGCATGACCCTCTCACCCTTGCTTTGCTTGTGGCTGTTGTCCACCGGTGGCCCAGTCGATTCAGCAATGCGCTCAAGGTGCATTCCACCTCTCTGTTGGTTCCGATGAACTAGCACTGATTTGGATGGATCGTCGCCCAAGCTTATCGTCTCATGATGTGTCTTTGTTAAGTTTCTATTTCCACTGCATTGCTCCACCAGGGTTGCTTTGCGCCGTTTAAATTGACTAGCGTGATCGAATACCAACACCACATCCACGTTGCTCGATAGTGAAATGAATGCAACTAAGGGAATGCAGACAGCAGACGTAGTCTGAGCTCGTGATCGTACGAGTGGGAGTAGATCCTGCGAGCGATTGATTCGTGCAGTTCGTGTCGACTGTGATTGTGAAGCGCGATGGGTGGGCTGGCCTTTTTGTGACGGCTTGGTGTGAGATGTCCTTTCTGCGCGCGGGTAGCTCAGTGGTAGAGCGTTCGATTGCAGCTCGAATGGTCGCTGGTTCAATCCCGGTCTCGCGCTTGTTGATGCTCTCACCATTGCGCGCTTGGTCGGATGTTCTGCGATTGTCAGGCTTCGAACGTCAAGAAGTGGTTGCATTGCATGACCCTCTCACCCTTGCTTTGCTTGTGGCTGTTGTCCACCGGTGGCCCAGTCGATTCAGCAATGCGCTCAAGGTGCATTCCACCTCTCTGTTGGTTCCGATGAACTAGCACTGATTTGGATGGATCGTCGCCCAAGCTTATCGTCTCATGATGTGTCTTTGTTAAGTTTCTATTTCCACTGCATTGGTCGACCACCTGGGTTGCTTTGCGCCGTTTAAATTGACTAGCGTGATCGAATACCAACACCACATCCACGTTGCTCGATAGTGAAATGAATGCAACTAAGGGAATGCAGACAGCAGACGTAGTCTGAGCTCGTGATCGTACGAGTGGGAGTAGATCCTGCGAGCGATTGATTCGTGCAGTTCGTGTCGACTGTGTTTGTGAAGCGCGATGGGTGGGTTGGTCTTTTTTTTGTGACGGCTTGGTGTGAGATGTCCTTTCTGCGCGCGGGTAGCTCAGTGGTAGAGCGTTCGATTGCAGCTCGAAGGGTCACTGGTTCAATCCCGGTCCCGCGCTTGTTGTTGCTCTCATCATTGCCCGCTTGGTCGGATGTTCTGCGATTGTTAGGCTTCGAACGTCAAGAAGTGGTTGCATTGCATGACCCTCTCACCCTTGCTTTGCTTGTGGCTGTTGTCCACCGGTGGCCCAGTCGATTCAGCAATGCGCTCAAGGTGCATTCCACCTCTCTGTTGGTTTCCGATGAACTAGCACTGATTTGGATGGATCGTCGCCCAAGCTTATCGTCTCATGATGTGTCTTTGTTAAGTTTCTATTTCCACTGCATTGGTCAACCCACCGGGTTGCTTTGCGCCGTTTAAATTGACTAGCGTGATCGAATACCAACACCACATCCACGTTGCTCGATAGTGAAATGAATGCAACTAAGGGAATGCAGACAGCAGACGTAGTCTGAGCTCGTGATCGTACGAGTGGGAGTAGATCCTGCGAGCGATTGATTCGTGCAGTTCGTGTCGACTGTGATTGTGAAGCGCGATGGGTGGGTTTGTCTTTTGTTTTGTGACGGCTTGGTGTGAGATGTCCTTTCTGCGCGCGGGTAGCTCAGTGGTAGAGCGTTCGATTGCAGCTCGAATGGTCGCTGGTTCAATCCCGGTCTCGCGCTTGTTGTTGCTCTCATCATTGCCCGCTTGGTCGGATGTTCTGCGATTGTCAGGCTTCGAACGTCAAGAAGTGGTTGCATTGCATGACCCTCTCACCCTTGCTTTGCTTGTGGCTGTTGTCCACCGGTGGCCCAGTCGATTCAGCAATGCGCTCAAGGTGCATTCCACCTCTCTGTTGGTTCCGATGAACTAGCACTGATTTGGATGGATCGTCGCCCAAGCTTATCGTCTCATGATGTTCCTTCTTAAATTTCTATTTCCACTGCATTGCTCACTAGGGTTGCTTTGCGCCGTTTAAATTGACTAGCGTGATCGAATACCAACACCACATCCTCGTTGCTCGATAGTGAAATGAATGCAGCTAAGGGAATGCAGACAGCAGACGTAGTCTGAGCTCGTGATCGTACGAGTGGGAGTAGATCCTGCGAGCGATTGATTCGTGCAGTTCGTGTCGACTGTGATTGTGAAGCGCGATGGGTGGGTTTGTCTTTTGTTTTGTGACGGCTTGGTGTGAGATGTCCTTTCTGCGCGCGGGTAGCTCAGTGGTAGAGCGTTCGATTGCAGCTCGAATGGTCGCTGGTTCAATCCCGGTCTCGCGCTTGTTGTTGCTCTCATCATTGCCCGCTTGGTCGGATGTTCTGCGATTGTTGGGCTTCGAACGTCAAGAAGTGGTTGCATTGCATGACCCTCTCACCCTTGCTTTGCTTGTGGCTGTTGTCCACCGGTGACCTAGTCGATTCAGCAATGCGCTCAAGGTGCATTCCACCTCTCTGTTGGTTCCGATGAACTAGCACTGATTTGGATGGATCGTCGCCCAAGCTTATCGTCTCATGATGTGTCTTTGTTAAGTTTCTATTTCCACTGCATTGCTCACTCAGGGTTGCTTTGCGCCGTTTAAATTGACTAGCGTGATCGAATACCAACACCACATCCACGTTGCTCGATAGTGAAATGAATGCAACTAAGGGAATGCAGACAGCAGACGTAGTCTGAGCTCGTGATCGTACGAGTGGGAGTAGATCCTGCGAGCGATTGATTCGTGCAGTTCGTGTCGACTGTGTTTGTGAAGCGCGATGGGTGGGTTGGTCTTTTTTTTTTGACGGCTTGGTGTGAGATGTCCTTTCTGCGCGCGGGTAGCTCAGTGGTAGAGCGTTCGATTGCAGCTCGAAGGGTCACTGGTTCAATCCCGGTCCCGCGCTTGTTGTTGCTCTCATCATTGCCCGCTTGGTCGGATGTTCTGCGATTGTTAGGCTTCGAACGTCAAGAAGTGGTTGCATTGCATGACCCTCTCACCCTTGCTTTGCTTGTGGCTGTTGTCCACCGGTGGCCCAGTCGATTCAGCAATGCGCTCAAGGTGCATTCCACCTCTCTGTTGGTTCCGATGAACTAGCACTGATTTGGATGGATCGTCGCCCAAGCTTATCGTCTCATGATGTGTCTTTGTTAAGTTTCTATTTCCACTGCATTGGTCACCACCTGGGTTGCTTTGCGCCGTTTAAATTGACTAGCGTGATCGAATACCAACACCACATCCACGTTGCTCGATAGTGAAATGAATGCAACTAAGGGAATGCAGACAGCAGACGTAGTCTGAGCTCGTGATCGTACGAGTGGGAGTAGATCCTGCGAGCGATTGATTCGTGCAGTTCGTGTCGACTGTGTTTGTGAAGCGCGATGGGTGGGTTGGTCTTTTTTTTTTTGACGGCTTGGTGTGTGATGTCCTTTCTGCGCGCGGGTAGCTCAGTGGTAGAGCGTTCGATTGCAGCTCGAATGGTCGCTGGTTCAATCCCGGTCTCGCGCTTGTTGTTGCTCTCATCATTGCCCGCTTGGTCGGATGTTCTGCGATTGTCAGGCTTCGAACGTCAAGAAGTGGTTGCATCGCATGACCCTCTCACCCTTGCTTTGCTTGTGGCTGTTGTCCACCGGTGGCCCAGTCGATTCAGCAATGCGCTCAAGGTGCATTCCACCTCTCTGTTGGTTCCGATGGACTAGCACTGATTTGGATGGATCGTCGCCCAAGCTTATCGTCTCATGATGTGTCTTTGTTAAGTTTCTATTTCCACTGCATTGGTCGAACCCACCTGGGTTGCTTTGCGCCGTTTAAATTGACTAGCGTGATCGAATACCAACACCACATCCACGTTGCTCGATAGTGAAATGAATGCAACTAAGGGAATGCAGACAGCAGACGTAGTCTGAGCTCGTGATCGTACGAGTGGGAGTAGATCCTGCGAGCGATTGATTCGTGCAGTTCGTGTCGACTGTGTTTGTGAAGCGCGCGATGGGTGGGTTGGTCTTTTTTGTGACGGCTTGGTGTGAGATGTCCTTTCTGCGCGCGGGTAGCTCAGTGGTAGAGCGTTCGATTGCAGCTCGAATGGTCGCTGGTTCAATCCCGGTCTCGCGCTTGTTGATGCTCTCACCATTGCGCGCTTGGTCGGATGTTCTGCGATTGTCAGGCTTCGAACGTCAAGAAGTGGTTGCATTGCATGACCCTCTCACCCTTGCTTTGCTTGTGGCTGTTGTCCACCGGTGGCCCAGTCGATTCAGCAATGCGCTCAAGGTGCATTCCACCTCTCTGTTGGTTCCGATGAACTAGCACTGATTTGGATGGATCGTCGCCCAAGCTTATCGTCTCATGATGTGTCTTTGTTAAGTTTCTATTTCCACTGCATTGGTCGAACCCACCTGGGTTGCTTTGCGCCGTTTAAATTGACTAGCGTGATCGAATACCAACACCACATCCACGTTGCTCGATAGTGAAATGAATGCAACTAAGGGAATGCAGACAGCAGACGTAGTCTGAGCTCGTGATCGTACGAGTGGGAGTAGATCCTGCGAGCGATTGATTCGTGCAGTTCGTGTCGACTGTGATTGTGAAGCGCGATGGGTGGGTTGGTCTTTTTTTTTGACGGCTTGGTGTGAGTGTCCTTTCTGCGCGCGGGTAGCTCAGTGGTAGAGCGTTCGATTGCAGCTCGAATGGTCGCTGGTTCAATCCCGGTCTCGCGCTTGTTGATGCTCTCACCATTGCGCGCTTGGTCGGATGTTCTGCGATTGTCAGGCTTCGAACGTCAAGAAGTGGTTGCATTGCATGACCCTCTCACCCTTGCTTTGCTTGTGGCTGTTGTCCACCGGTGGCCCAGTCGATTCAGCAATGCGCTCAAGGTGCATTCCACCTCTCTGTTGGTTCCGATGAACTAGCACTGATTTGGATGGATCGTCGCCCAAGCTTATCGTCTCATGATGTGTCTTTGTTAAGTTTCTATTTCCACTGCATTGGTCGAACCCACCTGGGTTGCTTTGCGCCGTTTAAATTGACTAGCGTGATCGAATACCAACACCACATCCACGTTGCTCGATAGTGAAATGAATGCAACTAAGGGAATGCAGACAGCAGACGTAGTCTGAGCTCGTGATCGTACGAGTGGGAGTAGATCCTGCGAGCGATTGATTCGTGCAGTTCGTGTCGACTGTGATTGTGAAGCGCGATGGGTGGGTTGGTCTTTTTTGTGACGGCTTGGTGTGAGATGTCCTTTCTGCGCGCGGGTAGCTCAGTGGTAGAGCGTTCGATTGCAGCTCGAATGGTCGCTGGTTCAATCCCGGTCTCGCGCTTGTTGTTGCTCTCATCATTGCCCGCTTGGTCGGATGTTCTGCGATTGTCAGGCTTCGAACGTCAAGAAGTGGTTGCATTGCATGACCCTCTCACCCTTGCTTTGCTTGTGGCTGTTGTCCACCGGTGGCCCAGTCGATTCAGCAATGCGCTCAAGGTGCATTCCACCTCTCTGTTGGTTCCGATGGACTAGCACTGATTTGGATGGATCGTCGCCCAAGCTTATCGTCTCATGATGTGTCCTTCTTAAATTTCTATTTCCACTGCATTGGTCGAACCCACCGGGTTGCTTTGCGCCGTTTAAATTGACTAGCGTGATCGAATACCAACACCACATCCACGTTGCTCGATAGTGAAATGAATGCAACTAAGGGAATGCAGACAGCAGACGTAGTCTGAGCTCGTGATCGTACGAGTGGGAGTAGATCCTGCGAGCGATTGATTCGTGCAGTTCGTGTCGACTGTGATTGTGAAGCGCGATGGGTGGGCTGGCCTTTTTTGTGACGGCTTGGTGTGAGATGTCCTTTCTGCGCGCGGGTAGCTCAGTGGTAGAGCGTTCGATTGCAGCTCGAATGGTCGCTGGTTCAATCCCGGTCTCGCGCTTGTTGTTGCTCTCATCATTGCCCGCTTGGTCGGATGTTCTGCGATTGTTAGGCTTCGAACGTCAAGAAGTGGTTGCATTGCATGACCCTCTCACCCTTGCTTTGCTTGTGGCTGTTGTCCACCGGTGGCCCAGTCGATTCAGCAATGCGCTCAAGGTGCATTCCACCTCTCTGTTGGTTTCGATGAACTAGCACTGATTTGGATGGATCGTCGCCCAAGCTTATCGTCTCATGATGTGTCTTTGTTAAGTTTCTATTTCCACTGCATTGGTCGAACCCACCTGGGTTGCTTTGCGCCGTTTAAATTGACTAGCGTGATCGAATACCAACACCACATCCACGTTGCTCGATAGTGAAATGAATGCAACTAAGGGAATGCAGACAGCAGACGTAGTCTGAGCTCGTGATCGTACGAGTGGGAGTAGATCCTGCGAGCGATTGATTCGTGCAGTTCGTGTCGACTGTGATTGTGAAGCGCGATGGGTGGGTTGGTCTTTTTTTGTGACGGCTTGGTGTGAGATGTCCTTTCTGCGCGCGGGTAGCTCAGTGGTAGAGCGTTCGATTGCAGCTCGAATGGTCGCTGGTTCAATCCCGGTCTCGCGCTTGTTGTTGCTCTCATCATTGCCCGCTTGGTCGGATGTTCTGCGATCGTTAGGCTTCGAACGTCAAGAAGTGGTTGCATCGCATGACCCTCTCACCCTTGCTTTGCTTGTGGCTGTTGTCCACCGGTGGCCCAGTCGATTCAGCAATGCGCTCAAGGTGCATTCCACCTCTCTGTTGGTTCCGATGAACTAGCACTGATTTGGATGGATCGTCGCCCAAGCTTATCGTCTCATGATGTGTCTTTGTTAAGTTTCTATTTCCACTGCATTGGTCGAACCCACCTGGGTTGCTTTGCGCCGTTTAAATTGACTAGCGTGATCGAATACCAACACCACATCCACGTTGCTCGATAGTGAAATGAATGCAACTAAGGGAATGCAGACAGCAGACGTAGTCTGAGCTCGTGATCGTACGAGTGGGAGTAGATCCTGCGAGCGATTGATTCGTGCAGTTCGTGTCGACTGTGTTTGTGAAGCGCGATGGGTGGGTTGGTCATTTTTTGTGACGGCTTGGTGTGAGATGTCCTTTCTGCGCGCGGGTAGCTCAGTGGTAGAGCGTTCGATTGCAGCTCGAATGGTCGCTGGTTCAATCCCGGTCTCGCGCTTGTTGTTGCTCTCATCATTGCCCGCTTGGTCGGATGTTCTGCGATTGTCAGGCTTCGAACGTCAAGAAGTGGTTGCATTGCATGACCCTCTCACCCTTGCTTTGCTTGTGGCTGTTGTCCACCGGTGGCCCAGTCGATTCAGCAATGCGCTCAAGGTGCATTCCACCTCTCTGTTGGTTCCGATGGACTAGCACTGATTTGGATGGATCGTCGCCCAAGCTTATCGTCTCATGATGTTCCTTCTTAAATTTCTATTTCCACTGCATTGCTCACTAGGGTTGCTTTGCGCCGTTTAAATTGACTAGCGTGATCGAATACCAACACCACATCCACGTTGCTCGATAGTGAAATGAATGCAACTAAGCGAATGCAGACAGCAGACGTAGTCTGAGCTCGTGATCGTACGAGTGGGAGTAGATCCTGCGAGCGATTGATTCGTGCAGTTCGTGTCGACTGTGTTTGTGAAGCGGGATGGGTGGGTTGGTCATTTTTTGTGACGGCTTGGTGTGAGATGTCCTTTCTGCGCGCGGGTAGCTCAGTGGTAGAGCGTTCGATTGCAGCTCGAATGGTCGCTGGTTCAATCCCGGTCTCGCGCTTGTTGTTGCTCTCATCATTGCCCGCTTGGTCGGATGTTCTGCGATCGTTAGGCTTCGAACGTCAAGAAGTGGTTGCATTGCATGACCCTCTCACCCTTGCTTTGCTTGTGGCTGTTGTCCACCGGTGGCCCAGTCGATTCAGCAATGCGCTCAAGGTGCATTCCACCTCTCTGTTGGTTCCGATGAACTAGCACTGATTTGGATGGATCGTCGCCCAAGCTTATCGTCTCATGATGTGTCTTTGTTAAGTTTCTATTTCCACTGCATTGGTCGAACCCACCTGGGTTGCTTTGCGCCGTTTAAATTGACTAGCGTGATCGAATACCAACACCACATCCACGTTGCTCGATAGTGAAATGAATGCAACTAAGGGAATGCAGACAGCAGACGTAGTCTGAGCTCGTGATCGTACGAGTGGGAGTAGATCCTGCGAGCGATTGATTCGTGCAGTTCGTGTCGACTGTGTTTGTGAAGCGCGATGGGTGGGTTGGCCTTGTTTTGTGACGGCTTGGTGTGTGATGTCCTTTCTGCGCGCGGGTAGCTCAGTGGTAGAGCGTTCGATTGCAGCTCGAATGGTCGCTGGTTCAATCCCGGTCTCGCGCTTGTTGTTGCTCTCATCATTGCCCGCTTGGTCGGATGTTCTGCGATCGTTAGGCTTCGAACGTCAAGAAGTGGTTGCATTGCATGACCCTCTCACCCTTGCTTTGCTTGTGGCTGTTGTCCACCGGTGACCTAGTCGATTCAGCAATGCGCTCAAGGTGCATTCCACCTCTCTGTTGGTTCCGATGGACTAGCACTGATTTGGATGGATCGTCGCCCAAGCTTATCGTCTCATGATGTGTCCTTCTTAAATTTCTATTTCCACTGCATTGGTCACCAGGGTTGCTTTGCGCCGTTTAAATTGACTAGCGTGATCGAATACCAACACCACATCCACGTTGCTCGATAGTGAAATGAATGCAACTAAGGGAATGCAGACAGCAGACGTAGTCTGAGCTCGTGATCGTACGAGTGGGAGTAGATCCTGCGAGCGATTGATTCGTGCAGTTCGTGTCGACTGTGATTGTGAAAGCGCGATGGGTGGGTTGGTCTTTTTTGTGACGGCTTGGTGTGAGATGTCCTTTCTGCGCGCGGGTAGCTCAGTGGTAGAGCGTTCGATTGCAGCTCGAATGGTCGCTGGTTCAATCCCGGTCTCGCGCTTGTTGTTGCTCTCATCATTGCCCGCTTGGTCGGATGTTCTGCGATCGTTAGGCTTCGAACGTCAAGAAGTGGTTGCATTGCATGACCCTCTCACCCTTGCTTTGCTTGTGGCTGTTGTCCACCGGTGGCCCAGTCGATTCAGCTATGCGCTCAAGGTGCATTCCACCTCTCTGTTGGTTCCGATGAACTAGCACTGATTTGGATGGATCGTCGCCCAAGCTTATCGTCTCATGATGTGTCTTTGTTAAGTTTCTATTTCCACTGCATTGGTCGAACCCACCTGGGTTGCTTTGCGCCGTTTAAATTGACTAGCGTGATCGAATACCAACACCACATCCACGTTGCTCGATAGTGAAATGAATGCAACTAAGGGAATGCAGACAGCAGACGTAGTCTGAGCTCGTGATCGTACGAGTGGGAGTAGATCCTGCGAGCGATTGATTCGTGCAGTTCGTGTCGACTGTGATTGTGAAGCGCGATGGGTGGGCTGGCCTTTTTTTTGACGGCTTGGTGTGTGATGTCCTTTCTGCGCGCGGGTAGCTCAGTGGTAGAGCGTTCGATTGCAGCTCGAATGGTCGCTGGTTCAATCCCGGTCTCGCGCTTGTTGTTGCTCTCATCATTGCCCGCTTGGTCGGATGTTCTGCGATCGTTAGGCTTCGAACGTCAAGAAGTGGTTGCATTGCATGACCCTCTCACCCTTGCTTTGCTTGTGGCTGTTGTCCACCGGTGGCCCAGTCGATTCAGCAATGCGCTCAAGGTGCATTCCACCTCTCTGTTGGTTTCGATGAACTAGCACTGATTTGGATGGATCGTCGCCCAAGCTTATCGTCTCATGATGTTCCTTCTTAAATTTCTATTTCCACTGCATTGCTCACTAGGGTTGCTTTGCGCCGTTTAAATTGACTAGCGTGATCGAATACCAACACCACATCCACGTTGCTCGATAGTGAAATGAATGCAACTAAGGGAATGCAGACAGCAGACGTAGTCTGAGCTCGTGATCGTACGAGTGGGAGTAGATCCTGCGAGCGATTGATTCGTGCAGGTCGTGTCGACTGTGATTGTGAAGCGCGATGGGTGGGTTGGTCTTTTTTGTGACGGCTTGGTGTGAGATGTCCTTTCTGCGCGCGGGTAGCTCAGTGGTAGAGCGTTCGATTGCAGCTCGAATGGTCGCTGGTTCAATCCCGGTCTCGCGCTTGTTGTTGCTCTCAACATTGCCCGCTTGGTCGGATGTTCTGCGATCGTTAGGCTTCGAACGTCAAGAAGTGGTTGCATTGCATGACCCTCTCACCCTTGCTTTGCTTGTGGCTGTTGTCCACCGGTGGCCCAGTCGATTCAGCTATGCGCTCAAGGTGCATTCCACCTCTCTGTTGGTTCCGATGAACTAGCACTGATTTGGATGGATCGTCGCCCAAGCTTATCGTCTCATGATGTGTCTTTGTTAAGTTTCTATTTCCACTGCATTGGTCGAACCCACCTGGGTTGCTTTGCGCCGTTTAAATTGACTAGCGTGATCGAATACCAACACCACATCCACGTTGCTCGATAGTGAAATGAATGCAACTAAGGGAATGCAGACAGCAGACGTAGTCTGAGCTCGTGATCGTACGAGTGGGAGTAGATCCTGCGAGCGATTGATTCGTGCAGTTCGTGTCGACTGTGATTGTGAAGCGCGATGGGTGGGCTGGCCTTTTTGTGACGGCTTGGTGTGTGATGTCCTTTCTGCGCGCGGGTATCTCAGTGGTAGAGCGTTCGATTGCAGCTCGAATGGTCGCTGGTTCAATCCCGGTCTCGCGCTTGTTGTTGCTCTCATCATTGCCCGCTTGGTCGGATGTTCTGCGATCGTTAGGCTTCGAACGTCAAGAAGTGGTTGCATTGCATGACCCTCTCACCCTTGCTTTGCTTGTGGCTGTTGTCCACCGGTGACCTAGTCGATTCAGCAATGCGCTCAAGGTGCATTCCACCTCTCTGTTGGTTCCGATGGACTAGCACTGATTTGGATGGATCGTCGCCCAAGCTTATCGTCTCATGATGTTCCTTCTTAAATTTCTATTTCCACTGCATTGCTCACTAGGGTTGCTTTGCGCCGTTTAAATTGACTAGCGTGATCGAATACCAACACCACATCCACGTTGCTCGATAGTGAAATGAATGCAACTAAGGGAATGCAGACAGCAGACGTAGTCTGAGCTCGTGATCGTACGAGTGGGAGTAGATCCTGCGAGCGATTGATTCGTGCAGTTCGTGTCGACTGTGTTTGTGAAGCGCGATGGGTGGGTTGGTCATTTTTTGTGACGGCTTGGTGTGAGATGTCCTTTCTGCGCGCGGGTAGCTCAGTGGTAGAGCGTTCGATTGCAGCTCGAATGGTCGCTGGTTCAATCCCGGTCTCGCGCTTGTTGTTGCTCTCATCATTGCCCGCTTGGTCGGATGTTCTGCGATCGTTAGGCTTCGAACGTCAAGAAGTGGTTGCATTGCATGACCCTCTCACCCTTGCTTTGCTTGTGGCTGTTGTCCACCGGTGGCCCAGTCGATTCAGCTATGCGCTCAAGGTGCATTCCACCTCTCTGTTGGTTCCGATGAACTAGCACTGATTTGGATGGATCGTCGCCCAAGCTTATCGTCTCATGATGTGTCTTTGTTAAGTTTCTATTTCCACTGCATTGGTCGAACCCACCTGGGTTGCTTTGCGCCGTTTAAATTGACTAGCGTGATCGAATACCAACACCACATCCACGTTGCTCGATAGTGAAATGAATGCAACTAAGGGAATGCAGACAGCAGACGTAGTCTGAGCTCGTGATCGTACGAGTGGGAGTAGATCCTGCGAGCGATTGATTCGTGCAGTTCGTGTCGATCTCTGTGATTGTGAAGCGCGATGGGTGGGCTGGCCTTTTTTTTTGTACGGCTTGGTGTGTGATGTCCTTTCTGCGCGCGGGTAGCTCAGTGGTAGAGCGTTCGATTGCAGCTCGAATGGTCGCTGGTTCAATCCCGGTCTCGCGCTTGTTGTTGCTCTCATCATTGCCCGCTTGGTCGGATGTTCTGCGATCGTTAGGCTTCGAACGTCAAGAAGTGGTTGCATTGCATGACCCTCTCACCCTTGCTTTGCTTGTGGCTGTTGTCCACCGGTGGCCCAGTCGATTCAGCAATGCGCTCAAGGTGCATTCCACCTCTCTGTTGGTTCCGATGAACTAGCACTGATTTGGATGGATCGTCGCCCAAGCTTATCGTCTCATGATGTGTCTTTGTTAAGTTTCTATTTCCACTGCATTGGTCGAACCCACCTGGGTTGCTTTGCGCCGTTTAAATTGACTAGCGTGATCGAATACCAACACCACATCCACGTTGCTCGATAGTGAAATGAATGCAACTAAGGGAATGCAGACAGCAGACGTAGCCTGAGCTCGTGATCGTACGAGTGGGAGTAGATCCTGCGAGCGATTGATTCGTGCAGTTCGTGTCGACTGTGATTGTGAAGCGCGATGGGTGGGCTGGCCTTTTTTTGTGACGGCTTGGTGTGTGATGTCCTTTCTGCGCGCGGGTAGCTCAGTGGTAGAGCGTTCGACTGCAGCTCGAATGGTCGCTGGTTCAATCCCGGTCTCGCGCTTGTTGATGCTCTCACCATTGCCCGCTTGGTCGGATGTTCTGCGATTGTTGGGCTTCGAACGTCAAGAAGTGGTTGCATTGCATGACCCTCTCACCCTTGCTTTGCTTGTGGCTGTTGTCCACCGGTGGCCCAGTCGATTCAGCTATGCGCTCAAGGTGCATTCCACCTCTCTGTTGGTTCCGATGAACTAGCACTGATTTGGATGGATCGTCGCCCAAGCTTATCGTCTCATGATGTGTCTTTGTTAAGTTTCTATTTCCACTGCATTGGTCGAACCCACCTGGGTTGCTTTGCGCCGTTTAAATTGACTAGCGTGATCGAATACCAACACCACATCCACGTTGCTCGATAGTGAAATGAATGCAACTAAGGGAATGCAGACAGCAGACGTAGTCTGAGCTCGTGATCGTACGAGTGGGAGTAGATCCTGCGAGCGATTGATTCGTGCAGTTCGTGTCGACTGTGTTTGTGAAGCGCGATGGGTGGGCTGGCCTTTTTGTGACGGCTTGGTGTGAGATGTCCTTTCTGCGCGCGGGTAGCTCAGTGGTAGAGCGTTCGATTGCAGCTCGAATGGTCGCTGGTTCAATCCCGGTCTCGCGCTTGTTGTTGCTCTCATCATTGCCCGCTTGGTCGGATGTTCTGCGATCGTTAGGCTTCGAACGTCAAGAAGTGGTTGCATTGCATGACCCTCTCACCCTTGCTTTGCTTGTGGCTGTTGTCCACCGGTGGCCCAGTCGATTCAGCAATGCGCTCAAGGTGCATTCCACCTCTCTGTTGGTTCCGATGAACTAGCACTGATTTGGATGGATCGTCGCCCAAGCTTATCGTCTCATGATGTGTCTTTGTTAAGTTTCTATTTCCACTGCATTGGTCGAACCCACCTGGGTTGCTTTGCGCCGTTTAAATTGACTAGCGTGATCGAATACCAACACCACATCCACGTTGCTCGATAGTGAAATGAATGCAACTAAGGGAATGCAGACAGCAGACGTAGTCTGAGCTCGTGATCGTACGAGTGGGAGTAGATCCTGCGAGCGATTGATTCGTGCAGGTCGTGTCGACTGTGATTGTGAAGCGCGATGGGTGGGTTGGCCTTTTTTTTTGACGGCTTGGTGTGAGATGTCCTTTCTGCGCGCGGGTAGCTCAGTGGTAGAGCGTTCGATTGCAGCTCGAATGGTCGCTGGTTCAATCCCGGTCTCGCGCTTGTTGTTGCTCTCATCATTGCCCGCTTGGTCGGATGTTCTGCGATCGTTAGGCTTCGAACGTCAAGAAGTGGTTGCATTGCATGACCCTCTCACCCTTGCTTTGCTTGTGGCTGTTGTCCACCGGTGGCCCAGTCGATTCAGCAATGCGCTCAAGGTGCATTCCACCTCTCTGTTGGTTCCGATGAACTAGCACTGATTTGGATGGATCGTCGCCCAAGCTTATCGTCTCATGATGTGTCTTTGTTAAGTTTCTATTTCCACTGCATTGGTCGAACCCACCTGGGTTGCTTTGCGCCGTTTAAATTGACTAGCGTGATCGAATACCAACACCACATCCACGTTGCTCGATAGTGAAATGAATGCAACTAAGGGAATGCAGACAGCAGACGTAGTCTGAGCTCGTGATCGTACGAGTGGGAGTAGATCCTGCGAGCGATTGATTCGTGCAGTTCGTGTCGACTGTGATTGTGAAGCGCGATGGGTGGGTTGGCCTTTTTTTTTTGACGGCTTGGTGTGTGATGTCCTTTCTGCGCGCGGGTAGCTCAGTGGTAGAGCGTTCGATTGCAGCTCGAATGGTCGCTGGTTCAATCCCGGTCTCGCGCTTGTTGTTGCTCTCATCATTGCCCGCTTGGTCGGATGTTCTGCGATCGTTAGGCTTCGAACGTCAAGAAGTGGTTGCATTGCATGACCCTCTCACCCTTGCTTTGCTTGTGGCTGTTGTCCACCGGTGGCCCAGTCGATTCAGCAATGCGCTCAAGGTGCATTCCACCTCTCTGTTGGTTCCGATGAACTAGCACTGATTTGGATGGATCGTCGCCCAAGCTTATCGTCTCATGATGTGTCTTTGTTAAGTTTCTATTTCCACTGCATTGGTCGAACCCACCTGGGTTGCTTTGCGCCGTTTAAATTGACTAGCGTGATCGAATACCAACACCACATCCACGTTGCTCGATAGTGAAATGAATGCAACTAAGGGAATGCAGACAGCAGACGTAGTCTGAGCTCGTGATCGTACGAGTGGGAGTAGATCCTGCGAGCGATTGATTCGTGCAGTTCGTGTCTCTGTGATTGTGAAGCGCGATGGGTGGGCTGGCCTTTTTTTTTGACGGCTTGGTGTGTGATGTCCTTTCTGCGCGCGGGTAGCTCAGTGGTAGAGCGTTCGATTGCAGCTCGAATGGTCGCTGGTTCAATCCCGGTCTCGCGCTTGTTGTTGCTCTCATCATTGCCCGCTTGGTCGGATGTTCTGCGATCGTTAGGCTTCGAACGTCAAGAAGTGGTTGCATTGCATGACCCTCTCACCCTTGCTTTGCTTGTGGCTGTTGTCCACCGGTGACCTAGTCGATTCAGCAATGCGCTCAAGGTGCATTCCACCTCTCTGTTGGTTCCGATGGACTAACACTGATTTGGATGGATCGTCGCCCAAGCTTATCGTCTCATGACGTTCCTTCTTAAATTTCTATTTCCACTGCATTGCTCACCACCAGGGTTGCTTTGCGCCGTTTAAATTGACTAGCGTGATCGAATACCAACACCACATCCACGTTGCTCGATAGTGAAATGAATACAATTAAGGGAATGCAGACAGCAGACGTAGTCTGAGCTCGTGATCGTACGAGTGGGAGTAGATCCTGTGAGCGATTGATTCGTGCAGGTCGTGTCGACTGTGTTTGTGAAGCGCGATGGGTGGGTTGGTCATTTTTTGTGACGGCTTGGTGTGTGATGTCCTTTCTGCGCGCGGGTAGCTCAGTGGTAGAGCGTTCGATTGCAGCTCGAATGGTCGCTGGTTCAATCCCGGTCTCGCGCTTGTTGTTGCTCTCATCATTGCCCGCTTGGTCGGATGTTCTGCGATCGTTAGGCTTCGAACGTCAAGAAGTGGTTGCATTGCATGACCCTCTCACCCTTGCTTTGCTTGTGGCTGTTGTCCACCGGTGGCCCAGTCGATTCAGCTATGCGCTCAAGGTGCATTCCACCTCTCTGTTGGTTCCGATGAACTAGCACTGATTTGGATGGATCGTCGCCCAAGCTTATCGTCTCATGATGTGTCTTTGTTAAGTTTCTATTTCCACTGCATTGGTCGAACCCACCTGGGTTGCTTTGCGCCGTTTAAATTGACTAGCGTGATCGAATACCAACACCACATCCACGTTGCTCGATAGTGAAATGAATGCAACTAAGGGAATGCAGACAGCAGACGTAGTCTGAGCTCGTGATCGTACTAGTGGGAGTAGATCCTGTGAGCGATTGATTCGTGCAGTTCGTGTCGACTGTGTTTGTGAAGCGCGATGGGTGGGTTGGTCTTTTTTTTTTGACGGCTTGGTGTGTGATGTCCTTTCTGCGCGCGGGTAGCTCAGTGGTAGAGCGTTCGATTGCAGCTCGAATGGTCGCTGGTTCAATCCCGGTCTCGCGCTTGTTGTTGCTCTCATCATTGCCCGCTTGGTCGGATGTTCTGCGATCGTTAGGCTTCGAACGTCAAGAAGTGGTTGCATTGCATGACCCTCTCACCCTTGCTTTGCTTGTGGCTGTTGTCCACCGGTGACCTAGTCGATTCAGCAATGCGCTCAAGGTGCATTCCACCTCTCTGTTGGTTCCGATGGACTAACACTGATTTGGATGGATCGTCGCCCAAGCTTATCGTCTCATGACGTTCCTTCTTAAATTTCTATTTCCACTGCATTGGTCGAACCCACCTGGGTTGCTTTGCGCCGTTTAAATTGACTAGCGTGATCGAATACCAACACCACATCCACGTTGCTCGATAGTGAAATGAATACAATTAAGGGAATGCAGACAGCAGACGTAGTCTGAGCTCGTGATCGTACGAGTGGGAGTAGATCCTGTGAGCGATTGATTCGTGCAGGTCGTGTCGACTGTGTTTGTGAAACGCGATGGGTGGGTTGGTCATTTTTTGTGACGGCTTGGTGTGTGATGTCCTTTCTGCGCGCGGGTAGCTCAGTGGTAGAGCGTTCGATTGCAGCTCGAATGGTCGCTGGTTCAATCCCGGTCTCGCGCTTGTTGTTGCTCTCATCATTGCCCGCTTGGTCGGATGTTCTGCGATCGTTAGGCTTCGAACGTCAAGAAGTGGTTGCATTGCATGACCCTCTCACCCTTGCTTTGCTTGTGGCTGTTGTCCACCGGTGGCCCAGTCGATTCAGCTATGCGCTCAAGGTGCATTCCACCTCTCTGTTGGTTCCGATGAACTAGCACTGATTTGGATGGATCGTCGCCCAAGCTTATCGTCTCATGATGTGTCTTTGTTAAGTTTCTATTTCCACTGCATTGGTCGAACCCACCTGGGTTGCTTTGCGCCGTTTAAATTGACTAGCGTGATCGAATACCAACACCACATCCACGTTGCTCGATAGTGAAATGAATGCAACTAAGGGAATGCAGACAGCAGACGTAGTCTGAGCTCGTGATCGTACGAGTGGGAGTAGATCCTGCGAGCGATTGATTCGTGCAGTTCGTGTCGACTGTGATTGTGAAGCGCGATGGGTGGGTTGGTCCTTTTTTTTGACGGCTTGGTGTGTGATGTCCTTTCTGCGCGCGGGTAGCTCAGTGGTAGAGCGTTCGATTGCAGCTCGAATGGTCGCTGGTTCAATCCCGGTCTCGCGCTTGTTGTTGCTCTCATCATTGCCCGCTTGGTCGGATGTTCTGCGATCGTTAGGCTTCGAACGTCAAGAAGTGGTTGCATCGCATGACCCTCTCACCCTTGCTTTGCTTGTGGCTGTTGTCCACCGGTGGCCCAGTCGATTCAGCAATGCGCTCAAGGTGCATTCCACCTCTCTGTTGGTTCCGATGGACTAGCACTGATTTGGATGGATCGTCGCCCAAGCTTATCGTCTCATGATGTGTCTTTGTTAAGTTTCTATTTCCACTGCATTGGTCGAACCCACCTGGGTTGCTTTGCGCCGTTTAAATTGACTAGCGTGATCGAATACCAACACCACATCCACGTTGCTCGATAGTGAAATGAATGCAACTAAGGGAATGCAGACAGCAGACGTAGTCTGAGCTCGTGATCGTACGAGTGGGAGTAGATCCTGCGAGCGATTGATTCGTGCAGTTCGTGTCTCTGTGATTGTGAAGCGCGATGGGTGGGCTGGCCTTTTTTTTTGACGGCTTGGTGTGTGATGTCCTTTCTGCGCGCGGGTAGCTCAGTGGTAGAGCGTTCGATTGCAGCTCGAATGGTCGCTGGTTCAATCCCGGTCTCGCGCTTGTTGTTGCTCTCATCATTGCCCGCTTGGTCGGATGTTCTGCGATCGTTAGGCTTCGAACGTCAAGAAGTGGTTGCATTGCATGACCCTCTCACCCTTGCTTTGCTTGTGGCTGTTGTCCACCGGTGGCCCAGTCGATTCAGCTATGCGCTCAAGGTGCATTCCACCTCTCTGTTGGTTCCGATGAACTAGCACTGATTTGGATGGATCGTCGCCCAAGCTTATCGTCTCATGATGTGTCTTTGTTAAGTTTCTATTTCCACTGCATTGGTCGAACTACACCTGGGTTGCTTTGCGCCGTTTAAATTGACTAGCGTGATCGAATACCAACACCACATCCACGTTGCTCGATAGTGAAATGAATGCAACTAAGGGAATGCAGACAGCAGACGTAGTCTGAGCTCGTGATCGTACGAGTGGGAGTAGATCCTGTGAGCGATTGATTCGTGCAGGTCGTGTCGACTGTGTTTGTGAAACGCGATGGGTGGGTTGGTCATTTTTTGTGACGGCTTGGTGTGAGATGTCCTTTCTGCGCGCGGGTAGCTCAGTGGTAGAGCGTTCGATTGCAGCTCGAATGGTCGCTGGTTCAATCCCGGTCTCGCGCTTGTTGTTGCTCTCATCATTGCCCGCTTGGTCGGATGTTCTGCGATCGTTAGGCTTCGAACGTCAAGAAGTGGTTGCATTGCATGACCCTCTCACCCTTGCTTTGCTTGTGGCTGTTGTCCACCGGTGGCCCAGTCGATTCAGCTATGCGCTCAAGGTGCATTCCACCTCTCTGTTGGTTCCGATGGACTAGCACTGATTTGGATGGATCGTCGCCCAAGCTTATCGTCTCATGATGTGTCTTTGTTAAGTTTCTATTTCCACTGCATTGGTCGAACCCACCTGGGTTGCTTTGCGCCGTTTAAATTGACTAGCGTGATCGAATACCAACACCACATCCACGTTGCTCGATAGTGAAATGAATGCAACTAAGGGAATGCAGACAGCAGACGTAGTCTGAGCTCGTGATCGTACGAGTGGGAGTAGATCCTGCGAGCGATTGATTCGTGCAGTTCGTGTCTCTGTGATTGTGAAGCGCGATGGGTGGGTTGGTCATTTTTTGTGACGGCTTGGTGTGTGATGTCCTTTCTGCGCGCGGGTAGCTCAGTGGTAGAGCGTTCGATTGCAGCTCGAATGGTCGCTGGTTCAATCCCGGTCTCGCGCTTGTTGTTGCTCTCATCATTGCCCGCTTGGTCGGATGTTCTGCGATCGTTAGGCTTCGAACGTCAAGAAGTGGTTGCATTGCATGACCCTCTCACCCTTGCTTTGCTTGTGGCTGTTGTCCACCGGTGGCCCAGTCGATTCAGCTATGCGCTCAAGGTGCATTCCACCTCTCTGTTGGTTCCGATGAACTAGCACTGATTTGGATGGATCGTCGCCCAAGCTTATCGTCTCATGATGTGTCTTTGTTAAGTTTCTATTTCCACTGCATTGGTCGAACCCACCTGGGTTGCTTTGCGCCGTTTAAATTGACTAGCGTGATCGAATACCAACACCACATCCACGTTGCTCGATAGTGAAATGAATGCAACTAAGGGAATGCAGACAGCAGACGTAGTCTGAGCTCGTGATCGTACGAGTGGGAGTAGATCCTGCGAGCGATTGATTCGTGCAGTTCGTGTCGACTGTGATTGTGAAGCGCGATGGGTGGGCTGGCCTTTTTTTTTGACGGCTTGGTGTGTGATGTCCTTTCTGCGCGCGGGTAGCTCAGTGGTAGAGCGTTCGATTGCAGCTCGAATGGTCGCTGGTTCAATCCCGGTCTCGCGCTTGTTGTTGCTCTCATCATTGCCCGCTTGGTCGGATGTTCTGCGATCGTTAGGCTTCGAACGTCAAGAAGTGGTTGCATTGCATGACCCTCTCACCCTTGCTTTGCTTGTGGCTGTTGTCCACCGGTGGCCCAGTCGATTCAGCAATGCGCTCAAGGTGCATTCCACCTCTCTGTTGGTTCCGATGGACTAGCACTGATTTGGATGGATCGTCGCCCAAGCTTATCGTCTCATGATGTGTCTTTGTTAAGTTTCTATTTCCACTGCATTGGTCGAACCCACCTGGGTTGCTTTGCGCCGTTTAAATTGACTAGCGTGATCGAATACCAACACCACATCCACGTTGCTCGATAGTGAAATGAATGCAACTAAGGGAATGCAGACAGCAGACGTAGTCTGAGCTCGTGATCGTACGAGTGGGAGTAGATCCTGCGAGCGATTGATTCGTGCAGTTCGTGTCTCTGTGATTGTGAAGCGCGATGGGTGGGTTGGCCTTGTTTTTTGACGGCTTGGTGTGAGATGTCCTTTCTGCGCGCGGGTAGCTCAGTGGTAGAGCGTTCGATTGCAGCTCGAATGGTCGCTGGTTCAATCCCGGTCTCGCGCTTGTTGTTGCTCTCATCATTGCCCGCTTGGTCGGATGTTCTGCGATCGTTAGGCTTCGAACGTCAAGAAGTGGTTGCATTGCATGACCCTCTCACCCTTGCTTTGCTTGTGGCTGTTGTCCACCGGTGGCCCAGTCGATTCAGCTATGCGCTCAAGGTGCATTCCACCTCTCTGTTGGTTCCGATGAACTAGCACTGATTTGGATGGATCGTCGCCCAAGCTTATCGTCTCATGATGTGTCTTTGTTAAGTTTCTATTTCCACTGCATTGGTCGAACCCACCTGGGTTGCTTTGCGCCGTTTAAATTGACTAGCGTGATCGAATACCAACACCACATCCACGTTGCTCGATAGTGAAATGAATGCAACTAAGGGAATGCAGACAGCAGACGTAGTCTGAGCTCGTGATCGTACGAGTGGGAGTAGATCCTGCGAGCGATTGATTCGTGCAGTTCGTGTCTCTGTGATTGTGAAGCGCGATGGGTGGGCTGGCCTTTTTTTTTTGACGGCTTGGTGTGTGATGTCCTTTCTGCGCGCGGGTAGCTCAGTGGTAGAGCGTTCGATTGCAGCTCGAATGGTCGCTGGTTCAATCCCGGTCTCGCGCTTGTTGTTGCTCTCATCATTGCCCGCTTGGTCGGATGTTCTGCGATCGTTAGGCTTCGAACGTCAAGAAGTGGTTGCATTGCATGACCCTCTCACCCTTGCTTTGCTTGTGGCTGTTGTCCACCGGTGACCTAGTCGATTCAGCAATGCGCTCAAGGTGCATTCCACCTCTCTGTTGGTTCCGATGGACTAACACTGATTTGGATGGATCGTCGCCCAAGCTTATCGTCTCATGACGTTCCTTCTTAAATTTCTATTTCCACTGCATTGCTCACTAGGGTTGCTTTGCGCCGTTTAAATTGACTAGCGTGATCGAATACCAACACCACATCCACGTTGCTCGATAGTGAAATGAATACAATTAAGGGAATGCAGACAGCAGACGTAGTCTGAGCTCGTGATCGTACGAGTGGGAGTAGATCCTGTGAGCGATTGATTCGTGCAGGTCGTGTCGACTGTGTTTGTGAAACGCGATGGGTGGGTTGGTCATTTTTTGTGACGGCTTGGTGTGAGATGTCCTTTCTGCGCGCGGGTAGCTCAGTGGTAGAGCGTTCGATTGCAGCTCGAATGGTCGCTGGTTCAATCCCGGTCTCGCGCTTGTTGTTGCTCTCAACATTGCCCGCTTGGTCGGATGTTCTGCGATCGTTAGGCTTCGAACGTCAAGAAGTGGTTGCATTGCATGACCCTCTCACCCTTGCTTTGCTTGTGGCTGTTGTCCACCGGTGGCCCAGTCGATTCAGCTATGCGCTCAAGGTGCATTCCACCTCTCTGTTGGTTCCGATGAACTAGCACTGATTTGGATGGATCGTCGCCCAAGCTTATCGTCTCATGATGTGTCTTTGTTAAGTTTCTATTTCCACTGCATTGGTCGAACCCACCTGGGTTGCTTTGCGCCGTTTAAATTGACTAGCGTGATCGAATACCAACACCACATCCACGTTGCTCGATAGTGAAATGAATGCAACTAAGGGAATGCAGACAGCAGACGTAGTCTGAGCTCGTGATCGTACGAGTGGGAGTAGATCCTGCGAGCGATTGATTCGTGCAGTTCGTGTCTCTGTGATTGTGAAGCGCGATGGGTGGGCTGGCCTTTTTTTTTTGACGGCTTGGTGTGTGATGTCCTTTCTGCGCGCGGGTAGCTCAGTGGTAGAGCGTTCGATTGCAGCTCGAATGGTCGCTGGTTCAATCCCGGTCTCGCGCTTGTTGTTGCTCTCATCATTGCCCGCTTGGTCGGATGTTCTGCGATCGTTAGGCTTCGAACGTCAAGAAGTGGTTGCATTGCATGACCCTCTCACCCTTGCTTTGCTTGTGGCTGTTGTCCACCGGTGACCTAGTCGATTCAGCAATGCGCTCAAGGTGCATTCCACCTCTCTGTTGGTTCCGATGGACTAACACTGATTTGGATGGATCGTCGCCCAAGCTTATCGTCTCATGACGTTCCTTCTTAAATTTCTATTTCCACTGCATTGCTCACTAGGGTTGCTTTGCGCCGTTTAAATTGACTAGCGTGATCGAATACCAACACCACATCCACGTTGCTCGATAGTGAAATGAATACAATTAAGGGAATGCAGACAGCAGACGTAGTCTGAGCTCGTGATCGTACGAGTGGGAGTAGATCCTGTGAGCGATTGATTCGTGCAGGTCGTGTCGACTGTGTTTGTGAAGCGCGATGGGTGGGTTGGCCTTGTTTTTTGACGGCTTGGTGTGAGATGTCCTTTCTGCGCGCGGGTAGCTCAGTGGTAGAGCGTTCGATCGCAGCTCGAATGGTCGCTGGTTCAATCCCGGTCTCGCGCTTGTTGTTGCTCTCATCATTGCCCGCTTGGTCGGATGTTCTGCGATCGTTAGGCTTCGAACGTCAAGAAGTGGTTGCATCGCATGACCCTGTCACCCTTGCTTTGCTTGTGGCTGTTGTCCACCGGTGGCCCAGTCGATTCAGCAATGCACTCAAGGTGCATTCCACCTCTCTGTTGGTTTCGATGGACTAGCACTGATTTGGATGGATCGTCGCCCAAGCTTATCGTCTCATGATGTGTCTTTGTTAAGTTTCTATTTCCACTGCATTGGTCGAACCCACCTGGGTCGCTTTGCGCCGTTTAAATTGACTAGCGTGATCGAATACCAACACCACATCCACGTTGCTCGATAGTGAAATGAATGCAACTAAGGGAATGCAGACAGCAGACGTAGTCTGAGCTCGTGATCGTACTAGTGGGAGTAGATCCTGCGAGCGATTGATTCGTGCACGTCGTGTCGACTGTGATTGTGAAGCGCGATGGGTGGGTTGGCCTTGTTTTGTGACGGCTTGGTGTGTGATGTCCTTTCTGCGCGCGGGTAGCTCAGTTAAAAGGTTGTCTATATTACAATAATTTAGACGATGTGACTTCCCAACTTACCTATCATGTTCTGTGCTGACGTTTAGACAGTTCTATTTATACGATGGGTGAGGCGCGGATGCCATCGATCGGAGTTGCTGTGATTCATATCTGTCGAAACCGTACCATTACAGGTTGGTAGTGGACGTTGTTGTGCAGAAACAAAAAGTGGGGGACGTCACTGTGTGGCGGCACAGTGCTGGTGAACCCCAAACACCAGGACCCTAAGGCTTAACTTCCGTCCCTGCCGGGGATCGAACCAGTGACCTCTGGGATGGTACCGCCATACCTTCCCGCTCGAGCCACTTGCAACCGTGGAAGTCGGCCGTAAATTCAGTGTCCATATGCGTAAAGAGTCCGGATAAAGAGTAAGTTTTCATCACGCGCACGATCATGAACAAGGCCGACAACTGGTCTCGCTCGTAAATATGTCGAGAAAAAAACCGGATGTGCGCCTCCAAAGTCGTGAAGATGGCTGACAATGCAGGGAGCTCCGGCGTAGGCAACCGTCCATCAAACAAGCATCGATTGCGGTCTTTCCAGATAAAGTGAAGAGCTGCCGTACGAAGAGCATCCCAGATATCGTGAATGGCGCCCACATGAATTTTCCACTTAGCGCGCACGCGCATTTTTTTCGCCAAAACAATGTCCAACCATGTCGGCCTCGTACGAAAGAAGGGGGACATCACTTGATTCAAGTGACCCCACAGACGTGATGCAAGAGTGCAGTCAAAAAACAAATGTTGCTCTGACTCGATCGCATTGCATCCATCGCGCACACAATACTGAATACGCGGGTTCGAAGCGACAAGAAACCAAGATCGAGCGCGCAATGGCAAAAGACGAAAGGTCACGCGGAACTGCAGGTCTTCAAAGACAGGAAGCAGGATCTTGCGCAAATGCTTACCATGCTTGATGAACGAGGTGATCTGCTCATCGTCGACGTGTCGCGAGTGCGTAGTCATGGGATGCGGTTTAGCTGGCATCACAGGCTGTCAAACCACACCGAGAAGCGCGGTCCGCGGAATTGCAGGGACCAGAAATGTCTTTGTACCAATCGTGCAGCCCAAGTAGGGAGCCACTTGAGTTAAAGGAGGCGAAGCGGGCCATACGATCGAACGTGCATTCAGACGTTCAACAATCTGTGTCGTCTCCTTGTAAAGCACGCGCAACCACTTGATTTGGAGACCAGGGGCTGTGGACAGTAGCGTGAAGTCCATAAGACGCGAAACAAAGTCTGTCTGAGACGGCCAGGAAGATCCACTTCGCACAAAGTCGGAGAGCGATCGGATGCGGAAGACTCTGGCGATATGTAGGCGAAAGCTCCGCTGGGGTTCCGGGACCATCCCAATGCAGCGGCGATGCGCTTGTCTGGTACAACTCCGTGTTGCCCGTTCAAAGTGCAGATCTGGGTCCGAATGATACCAGATCGGCTGGTGAAGGTTATATAAAACGCGATCGCCGGAAGGTAAATCGCGTTGCGTGATGTCCCAGCGGATCTTGTACCACCAAGTCCACGTCACACGCCACCAATGTGAAGTCAGTCGCCAGTTGATCATCTCACCGTGACGTAGTGGGGAGATGGTGAGGAAGTCGAGTGCGTGGCGGTTGCCAGTGCGAGGAAGAATCAACATGAGGACCTCAGAGCCTGAAGTGGTCCAATTACGCTCACCTTTGGCAGTAGCGGCAGTGATGAACTGCAGCAATAATTGGAGATGCTGACGTTTGAGCAGCGCCTCGAGGTTTGGGATGGCTAGACCCCCGTCGCTTCGTCGCATGTATAAGAATTCCTGTGAAATGAGCCGCACGGATGAAGCGTGACGGTCATGTTTACGACTCAGTACAAACTTGTTCAACATTGACTGCCACCTCTTTACCACTGCTGCGGAAATCGACGCATGTTGTGTATAGTGCCATAATCGAGAGAGGACCATAGTTTGAGCTATCAAAAGCCTGCCACGAAGCGTTCTTGCACGCCGGTACCAAGCCTTAAATCCATCGTAAAAGCGCTGATCAAGGAACTCCACAGTTTCATCATTAACACACGACTGGCTGACCAAGATTCCGAGATACTTCACCGACTCCATGCGACCGAGCACTTTCACTCCTGGAAGGATCGGACAGTCGCGATTCCTATTAAGCGCCAACAAGACAGACTTCGATAAATTAAGCTTTGCACCAGATCCACGGCAGTACTCATCCACAAGCTCAAGCTGCGCTTGTATGTTCGTGATTGAGCTTCCCAGAAGTGTCGAGTCATCCGCAAAGAACGTGCTGGTGCAGGTGTGATCCGCGCTCACACACACGCCATATTCTTCATGAGACCGGAGAAGGTTTCCTAGTGGCTCAATCGTCAGTACAAAGAGCAGCGCCGACAGTGGGTCCCCCTGCTTGACGCCCCTCGTCGGAAAAAGCGCTGGCTGGATGTTCTGGTTGATCACTAGGTGAGCTTGCGGTTTATGATACAGTAGGTGAATCCACTGGAGAAACTCCGCGCCGAGTCCCATGCGCTCGAGCAGTCGAAACATGTACGTCCAGTTTACGCGATCAAATGCTTTTTCAAAATCCAAAAATAAAGCGTACGCGTCGTCATCCATTGCCGTCACGAGATTTTGTAGATCCGCAAGAAACCGAACATGATGGTGTATCGAACGGCCCTTGACAAATCCCTTTTGATCAGGATGAATCAGGTCCATAATGACGTGCTGCAGCCGGTACGTTAGAGCTTTGGAAAGCACCTTCACGTCAACCTGCACGAGTGAGATGGGTCGGTAGTTTCCAGGGGAAGCACGGGATCCGTTCTTGTGTAGTAGGACTACCGCTGATTTGCGCTGCGATGGAAGCAGTGTACCATGTAGTAGGCGATTGTTAAACACAAGGCTCAAGCACGCGCCGAACACATCCGGAGCCACCTGGTAAAATCCAGCCGTCAGCCCATCCAAACCCGGCGCTGACGTGGACTTCATGTGGCGAATCGCTGCCGCCAGGTCCGTAGGTGTGACCGGAGCATTGAGAATGGCATGATCAACATCGGAAACAACGCGGGTGATCGAGTTGAGCAGCTTTTGCTGCATCACGTCGTCAGGAGGAGGGGCTGTACCGGTCGGGCTGCATGGGTCTCCCATCATTGATCCCCAGTGCTCGAGAAAACGGAGAGAGATCTCGAGCGGGTTCTTGGAGACACCTCCGCCTGGTGTGTCCACTTCTTCGATGGAGACGCGCCGCAAGGTCGTGTCGACCGGACGAAAGAAATGGCGAGTAGACTTCTCAGAGTTGGCCACTTGGAAGTCAAACGACTTGTCTTGACTGTGCCGGCTCTCCCAAGTTACGATATCCTTGTAATTTCGGAGTGCCTCATTAAAGATTTCGCGGTCGGAGACGGCTGCAGACACACGGTATACGGACGCGGCCCGGTCAAGCTGACTTCGAGCTTCCAGTACTGCTTGCGAGTTCTGCTGCCGGAGCCTCGCTTGAACATCTTGTAGTTGACGCTTGATGCGGACCTTCCATTTCTCCCAGACCTTGCCCGGGTTAGTAGCGATACGCAATTGCTCAAGGACCATGTCAGCCTCGCGCTCGATGGCCTGTACAACAACTGGATACTCCAGTAAATAACGCGGGAACTTCCAGTAACCTTGGCCGTGTAGCTGCTCCCCTGAATGCAAGAGCAAACTGTGGGCGAGATGATCACCCGCATGCTGGGGTAGGAAGTACTTGGAGTCACCGTAGAAGCGCGTGCAGAAGTCGTCCGATAGTAAAATGTAGTCCAATCGATTTCTCCGGGGTAGGGGACCAGTGAAGACGCGCTTGGTGTCATGATGTATCCGCCAGGCGTCAACAACCCCGAGCTGTGACAGCAACTCGAGACAGCTTAACCGTCCAGGGTCATGACGTCGGTCGGATGAACAAGAGTCGAGACGAGGATCGAGCGGCGTGTTGAGGTCTCCCAGCACCAAGTGCGTCGCGTGGTCCTCAAACTCCGCCGTGTCCAATTGTGAGAAGAATTGATGCTTCTCGCGGCGATCAACAGGGGCGTACACATTGTGGATGTAAACAGGAGAGTCCTCGACCATTAACTTCACGACGAGATAGCGACCCGGGACCGCGACAGAGGGAACTATCATGGCTGTATCAAAGCCAGGGAAGTCGGAGCGGATCATTGTGAGCACTCCATTGCACCGACCACGCGTGGGTCGATGCAACAGAGAGTTAGGATCATCCACAAATACCTTGTTCGTAAAGCTTGAATCCATGTGGAATGTGAAATTGGAAAGATGCGAGCTACAACCGAACTTGGTTTCTTGGACGCATGCCAATGAGTACTTGGAGAGCATTTTCTCGATAAAGAGGTGACCGTTATTCTTGATGCCGTTTGTGTTCACGGTGAGAACACTCACGTTGCTCCATAGAGCGGTGGAAATCTCGGAAACTTTAGCAGCGAGTGGCGAGGTCGCTCGCGACCATGACCACGTCACCATCCACAACCCGGAGCTGGAGAACCGAAGAATCATCCGGGTAGAATCCATCCAGCGTCCGGAGCGACTCGAGGTCATCCAATAGGTGACCTTGCCACTGCACTTCTCGCCACTGCTGCATACAGAGGGACCCGAGGTCTGAACGGAGAAGCCGGAGGAGAGTATTCGGATGTAGGAGCCTTGTGTGGTGAGCCGGAATCCACCTGACCGGCTGGCCCGTGATGTACTGGATCCAGTGGTCGTTCGTGAATATTGTCGGCGCAATGGACATGAGAGTAAGCTCAAAAATTCCCAAGGCTTTCGACGCACGAGACAGTTCAGTGATCGAGGCGGACGATGTCCACCATTTCGCGCACATTTTAAAGATATCACCACGTTTCGACGGGACACTCGATCCCATAAGCTTTTTCCACTTCGCGCTGAATGTCGTATCATCTCCGGGGCACGTAGCACTGAAGACGCGGTTGATTACGTGCATCTGAGCCAGCTCGGTGATCTCGTGACCATCCCCGGCCATCTTGAGAGCCATAGTGCTATTGAAGGCAAGCGGACACTCGATGGCTTTCTTCGTGATATGGTCAGGGTTCGTTGCGTTTTCAAAGAGCTTGCACACACCATCCACCTTCGTGTCCGCCTCCGCGAGACGATCCGGAAGGACGCTAAGAAGCGCCGTATTCTCATCATCGAGCATTGCTTCCGTTACTTCCATGATAGGGGTCGCCTTGGAGGCCTTCTTGATCTTCGTATGGTGCTTCTCGACGAAGAAGGCTGATTCAGTCGAGGTCTTTATCGAGTCTGGACGCTTCACATCAACTGGAGCCACATGGTACCGGACCCCGTACGTCTTGTCCGCCATCACATTCTTCGACTCAAACTTGACCGACATCGATTGGAGAGCCTGGAAATAGTTGGCCGTCGCAATACCGTCGAGAGGGGTCGGCTGTTGCTTGACCATGAGGTTGGAGAAGTCAGTGGCCTTGCGCGATCGCTTCTTCTTGTTTGACGCGGTCACAAAATTGTCCTCTGGTCCGTTGGTCAGCAAAAGAAGCTTCTTTGGCGCCTTCGGACTACTGGGAGGGGAAATCTTGCCGTTGGAGTCGTTAAATGACGAAATTGAGAGCGTATCAGTGGATGTTGGTGGCACTTTAGCCAGTTGGCTGGCAGCAGAATGCTTACCATGCTGAGCACCACGCTGGGGCTGAGAAGTCCTAGTTTTTGCCTCCTCGACTGCTTTCTGCAGAGAAGTCAGTTGACGAATTGGCGTCGCACGGGCTGCTTGTGCGTACGACTTCGAGGGGATCGGCTGCCTCGGTAGAGAATGCGAAGACGATGTGGGAGATGGAGTTGACCCAGCCGCTGTTTCCGGCGGTGGAAACTGGCCGTCAGTCGTACCCAGGTCGAGACCGTGGTGTGAGCGGTAGCCAAATGGCAGTCGCTCCGACTGGTACGGTGCGTTCTTGCCGTGCGCAGGGTGAAGTTTGTTGTCGAAGAGCACCTGATCGCAGACCAAGCCATTGATCATCAACGCACTCGGACACGTGGTGGAAAGGAAGTACACACGCCACGTCGCGGACGTGAGACCTGTCGCAAGGTTAACGTCACGGAAAGTGTCGTACACGGGCTGGCATCCTAGCTGGAACAAGCGCTGCAGAATGAGATCCGTGGGAGTATCGGAGTCAATGCTTGAAATGTCGATGAAGTACTTTGCGCTCAGTACGTCAAATTCCTTGAACAGGAAACAACCACCAAGAATGTTCACCTTTGTGCGTCCTAGGAGTAGACATGCTTCCTTCGACTTGACCTTGACGCGCAGGTTGCCTCCAGGGAGCTTTGAGATCTGGCCGATCTCGTGCGACGCATACAGACGCTCAAGAACGTCACTACCATGGCTTTTGCCAGTCAGTGACGCCATGATCTTCTGGAGCGGAGTCTTCGCAAAGGTCCTTCCGGTGTCAATCACCATGTCGTACTTGGCACGTGGCAGTTCGTACGGACGCGCCTGGTCTATGCGCATGGCGATGAACGACCAGTCGTTGCCAGCGGCATACTGTCGCTCGATCGCCTCGATGTCGCAGGCGAGGGGTTTTGGCGTCTCCACACGACGACGAGCAGCATCGTCTTCAGCGTTGTCACGTCGAAGGCGCTCGTGTCGCGCAATCACATCCGCCATCGTCGGTCTCGTATCCTTTCCACGCGATGCGACGCCGATATGAGCGGATGGAATCGCAGATTCCATCGGATCATCCTCCTCCAGAGTGTAGAGAAGGGAAGACGCAGGTGGGAGGGAAGGGGTATCCTGAAACTCTTTGGGTCCATCCGGTTCCGAAGGATCAAGTAGAGTCGATTCCGTGGAAAGTTCCATGGTTCCTGACGTATCCGGGTCAACGTCCAATCGGACGCCAGAGCTCCGAGCAGACGAAAGATGACTCGTGTGCTCGCGAGGTAGAGACGAGGCAGAAGCTGTATTTTCCATGGGAAAAAAGAGGCAGACAAATCTTAGGAGATAGGGTTCTTCTGAATGAGACGACGTATTAGGAAGCCGGCAAATTGAGAAGTGCGTGGGTAGCTCAGTGGTAGAGCGTTCGATTGCAGCTCGAATGGTCGCTGGTTCAATCCCGGTCTCGCGCTTGTTGTTGCTCTCATCATTGCCCGCTTGGTCGGATGTTCTGCGATCGTTAGGCTTCGAACGTCAAGAAGTGGTTGCATTGCATGACCCTCTCACCCTTGCTTTGCTTGTGGCTGTTGTCCACCGGTGACCTAGTCGATTCAGCAATGCGCTCAAGGTGCATTCCACCTCTCTGTTGGTTCCGATGGACTAACACTGATTTGGATGGATCGTCGCCCAAGCTTATCGTCTCATGATGTTCCTTCTTAAGTTTCTATTTCCACTGCATTGCTCACCAGGGTTGCTTTGCACCGTTTAAATTGACTAGCGTGATCGAATACCAACACCACATCCACGTTGCTCGATAGTGAAATGAATGCAACTAAGGGAATGCAGACAGCAGACGTAGTCTGAGCTCGTGATCGTACGAGTGGGAGTAGATCCTGCGAGCGATTGATTCGTGCAGGTCGTGTCGACTGTGTTTGTGAAGCGCGATGGGTGGGTTGGCCTTGATTTTTAACGGCTTGGTGTGAGATGTCCTTTCTGCGCGCGGGTAGCTCAGTGGTAGAGCGTTCGATTGCAGCTCGAATGGTCGCTGGTTCAATCCCGGTCTCGCGCTTGTTGTTGCTCTCATCATTGCCCGCTTGGTCGGATGTTCTGCGATTGTTGGGCTTCGAACGTCAAGAAGTGGTTGCATCGCATGACCCTCTCACCCTTGCTTTGCTTGTGGCTGTTGTCCACCGGTGACCTAGTCGATTCAGCAATGCGCTCAAGGTGCATTCCACCTCTCTGTTGGTTCCGATGGACTAGCACTGATTTGGATGGATCGTCGCAAAAGCTTATCGTCTCATGATGTTCCTTCTTAAATTTCTATTTCCACTGCATTGGTCACCAGGGTTGCTTTGCGCCGTTTAAATTGACTAGCGTGATCGAATACCAACACCACATCCACGTTGCTCGATAGTGAAATGAATGCAGCTAAGGGAATGCAGACAGCAGACGTAGTCTGAGCTCGTGATCGTACTAGTGGGAGTAGATCCTGCGAGCGATTGATTCGTGCAGTTCGTGTCGACTGTGTTTGTGAAGCGCGATGGGTGGGTTGGTCTTTTTTTGTGACGGCTTGGTGTGAGATGTCCTTTCTGCGCGCGGGTAGCTCAGTGGTAGAGCGTTCGATTGCAGCTCGAATGGTCGCTGGTTCAATCCCGGTCTCGCGCTTGTTGTTGCTCTCACCATTGCCCGCTTGGTCGGATGTTCTGCGATTGTTGGGCTTCGAACGTCAAGAAGTGGTTGCATCGCATGACCCTCTCACCCTTGCTTTGCTTGTGGCTGTTGTCCACCGGTGACCTAGTCGATTCAGCAATGCGCTCAAGGTGCATTCCACCTCTCTGTTGGTTCCGATGAACTAGCACTGATTTGGATGGATCGTCGCCCAAGCTTATCGTCTCATGATGTGTCTTTGTTAAGTTTCTATTTCCACTGCATTGCTCACCAGGGTTGCTTTGCGCCGTTTAAATTGACTAGCGTGATCGAATACCAACACCACATCCACGTTGCTCGATAGTGAAATGAATGCAACTAAGCGAATGCAGACAGCAGATGTAGTCTGAGCTCGTGATCGTACGAGTGGGAGTAGATCCTGCGAGCGATTGATTCGTGCAGTTCGTGTCGACTGTGATTGTGAAGCGCGATGGGTGGGTTGGTCTTTTTGTTTTTGACGGCTTGGTGTGAGATGTCCTTTCTGCGCGCGGGTAGCTCAGTGGTAGAGCGTTCGATTGCAGCTCGAATGGTCGCTGGTTCAATCCCGGTCTCGCGCTTGTTGTTGCTCTCATCATTGCCCGCTTGGTCGGATGTTCTGCGATTGTTGGGCTTCGAACGTCAAGAAGTGGTTGCATCGCATGACCCTCTCACCCTTGCTTTGCTTGTGGCTGTTGTCCACCGGTGACCTAGTCGATTCAGCAATGCGCTCAAGGTGCATTCCACCTCTCTGTTGGTTCCGATGGACTAACACTGATTTGGATGGATCGTCGCCCAAGCTTATCGTCTCATGATGTTCCTTCTTAAGTTTCTATTTCCACTGCATTGCTCACCAGGGTTGCTTTGCACCGTTTAAATTGACTAGCGTGATCGAATACCAACACCACATCCACGTTGCTCGATAGTGAAATGAATACAACTAAGGGAATGCAGACAGCAGACGTAGTCTGAGCTCGTGATCGTACGAGTGGGAGTAGATCCTGCGAGCGATTGATTCGTGCAGGTCGTGTCGACTGTGTTTGTGAAGCGCGATGGGTGGGTTGGTCTTTTTTTGTGACGGCTTGGTGTGAGATGTCCTTTCTGCGCGCGGGTAGCTCAGTGGTAGAGCGTTCGATTGCAGCTCGAATGGTCGCTGGTTCAATCCCGGTCTCGCGCTTGTTGTTGCTCTCACCATTGCCCGCTTGGTCGGATGTTCTGCGATTGTTGGGCTTCGAACGTTAAGAAGTGGTTGCATCGCATGACCCTCTCACCCTTGCTTTGCTTGTGGCTGTTGTCCACCGGTGACCTAGTCGATTCAGCAATGCGCTCAAGGTGCATTCCACCTCTCTGTTTGTTTCGATGAACTAGCACTGATTTGGATGGATCGTCGCCCAAGCTTATCGTCTCATGATGTGTCTTTGTTAAGTTTCTATTTCCACTGCATTGGTCACCACCAGGGTTGCTTTGCGCCGTTTAAATTGACTAGCGTGATCGAATACCAACACCACATCCACGTTGCTCGATAGTGAAATGAATGCAACTAAGGGAATGCAGACAGCAGACGTAGTCTGAGCTCGTGATCGTACGAGTGGGAGTAGATCCTGCGAGCGATTGATTCGTGCAGTTCGTGTCGACTGTGTTTGTGAAGCGCGATGGGTGGGTTGGTCTTTTTTTTGACGGCTTGGTGTGAGATGTCCTTTCTGCGCGCGGGTAGCTCAGTGGTAGAGCGTTCGATTGCAGCTCGAAGGGTCACTGGTTCAATCCCGGTCCCGCGCTTGTTGTTGCTCTCATCATTGCCCGCTTGGTCGGATGTTCTGCGATTGTTGGGCTTCGAACGTCAAGAAGTGGTTGCATCGCATGACCCTCTCACCCTTGCTTTGCTTGTGGCTGTTGTCCACCGGTGGCCTAGTCGATTCAGCAATGCGCTCAAGGTGCATTCCACCTCTCTGTTGGTTCCGATGGACTAGCACTGATTTGGATGGATCGTCGCCCAAGCTTATCGTCTCATGATGTTCCTTCTTAAGTTTCTATTTCCACTGCATTGCTCACCAGGGTTGCTTTGCACCGTTTAAATTGACTAGCGTGATCGAATACCAACACCACATCCACGTTGCTCGATAGTGAAATGAATACAACTAAGGGAATGCAGACAGCAGACGTAGTCTGAGCTCGTGATCGTACGAGTGGGAGTAGATCCTGCGAGCGATTGATTCGTGCAGGTCGTGTCGACTGTGTTTGTGAAGCGCGATGGGTGGGTTGGTCTTGATTTTTGACGGCTTGGTGTGAGATGTCCTTTCTGCGCGCGGGTAGCTCAGTGGTAGAGCGTTCGATTGCAGCTCGAAGGGTCACTGGTTCAATCCCGGTCCCGCGCTTGTTGTTGCTCTCATCATTGCCCGCTTGGTCGGATGTTCTGCGATTGTTGGGCTTCGAACGTTAAGAAGTGGTTGCATCGCATGACCCTCTCACCCTTGCTTTGCTTGTGGCTGTTGTCCACCGGTGACCTAGTCGATTCAGCAATGCGCTCAAGGTGCATTCCACCTCTCTGTTGGTTCCGAGGGACTAGCACTGATTTGGATGGATCGTCGCCCAAGCTTATCGTCTCATGATGTGTCCTTCTTAAGTTTCTATTTCCACTGCATTGGTCACCCACCAGGGTTGCTTTGCGCCGTTTAAATTGACTAGCGTGATCGAATACCAACACCACATCCACGTTGCTCGATAGTGAAATGAATACAACTAAGGGAATGCAGACAGCAGACGTAGTCTGAGCTCGTGATCGTACGAGTGGGAGTAGATCCTGCGAGCGATTGATTCGTGCAGTTCGTGTCGACTGTGTTTGTGAAGCGCGATGGGTGGGTTGGCCTTGATTTTTAACGGCTTGGTGTGAGATGTCCTTTCTGCGCGCGGGTAGCTCAGTGGTAGAGCGTTCGATTGCAGCTCGAATGGTCGCTGGTTCAATCCCGGTCTCGCGCTTGTTGTTGCTCTCACCATTGCCCGCTTGGTCGGATGTTCTGCGATTGTTGGGCTTCGAACGTCAAGAAGTGGTTGCATCGCATGACCCTCTCACCCTTGCTTTGCTTGTGGCTGTTGTCCACCGGTGACCTAGTCGATTCAGCAATGCGCTCAAGGTGCATTCCACCTCTCTGTTGGTTCCGATGGACTAGCACTGATTTGGATGGATCGTCGCCCAAGCTTATCGTCTCATGATGTTCCTTCTTAAGTTTCTATTTCCACTGCATTGCTCACCAGGGTTGCTTTGCGCCGTTTAAATTGACTAGCGTGATCGAATACCAACACCACATCCACGTTGCTCGATAGTGAAATGAATGCAACTAAGGGAATGCAGACAGCAGACGTAGTCTGAGCTCGTGATCGTACGAGTGGGAGTAGATCCTGCGAGCGATTGATTCGTGCAGGTCGTGTCGACTGTGTTTGTGAAGCGCGATGGGTGGGTTGGTCTTTTTTTGTGACGGCTTGGTGTGAGATGTCCTTTCTGCGCGCGGGTAGCTCAGTGGTAGAGCGTTCGATTGCAGCTCGAATGGTCGCTGGTTCAATCCCGGTCTCGCGCTTGTTGTTGCTCTCATCATTGCCCGCTTGGTCGGATGTTCTGCGATTGTTAGGCTTCGAACGTCAAGAAGTGGTTGCATTGCATGACCCTCTCACCCTTGCTTTGCTTGTGGCTGTTGTCCACCGGTGACCTAGTCGATTCAGCAATGCGCTCAAGGTGCATTCCACCTCTCTGTTGGTTCCGATGGACTAACACTGATTTGGATGGATCGTCGCCCAAGCTTATCGTCTCATGATGTTCCTTCTTAAGTTTCTATTTCCACTGCATTGCTCACCAGGGTTGCTTTGCACCGTTTAAATTGACTAGCGTGATCGAATACCAACACCACATCCACGTTGCTCGATAGTGAAATGAATACAACTAAGGGAATGCAGACAGCAGACGTAGTCTGAGCTCGTGATCGTACGAGTGGGAGTAGATCCTGCGAGCGATTGATTCGTGCAGGTCGTGTCGACTGTGTTTGTGAAGCGCGATGGGTGGGTTGGCCTTGATTTTTGACGGCTTGGTGTGAGATGTCCTTTCTGCGCGCGGGTAGCTCAGTGGTAGAGCGTTCGATTGCAGCTCGAATGGTCGCTGGTTCAATCCCGGTCTCGCGCTTGTTGTTGCTCTCATCATTGCCCGCTTGGTCGGATGTTCTGCGATTGTTGGGCTTCGAACGTTAAGAAGTGGTTGCATCGCATGACCCTCTCACCCTTGCTTTGCTTGTGGCTGTTGTCCACCGGTGACCTAGTCGATTCAGCAATGCGCTCAAGGTGCATTCCACCTCTCTGTTGGTTCCGATGGACTAGCACTGATTTGGATGGATCGTCGCCCAAGCTTATCGTCTCATGATGTTCCTTCTTAAGTTTCTATTTCCACTGCATTGCTCACCAGGGTTGCTTTGCACCGTTTAAATTGACTAGCGTGATCGAATACCAACACCACATCCACGTTGCTCGATAGTGAAATGAATGCAACTAAGCGAATGCAGACAGCAGATGTAGTCTGAGCTCGTGATCGTACTAGTGGGAGTAGATCCTGCGAGCGATTGATTCGTGCAGTTCGTGTCGACTGTGATTGTGAAGCGCGATGGGTGGGTTGGTCTTTTTTTGTGACGGCTTGGTGTGAGATGTCCTTTCTGCGCGCGGGTAGCTCAGTGGTAGAGCGTTCGATTGCAGCTCGAATGGTCGCTGGTTCAATCCCGGTCTCGCGCTTGTTGTTGCTCTCATCATTGCCCGCTTGGTCGGATGTTCTGCGATTGTTAGGCTTCGAACGTCAAGAAGTGGTTGCATTGCATGACCCTCTCACCCTTGCTTTGCTTGTGGCTGTTGTCCACCGGTGACCTAGTCGATTCAGCAATGCGCTCAAGGTGCATTCCACCTCTCTGTTGGTTCCGATGGACTAACACTGATTTGGATGGATCGTCGCCCAAGCTTATCGTCTCATGATGTTCCTTCTTAAGTTTCTATTTCCACTGCATTGCTCACCAGGGTTGCTTTGCACCGTTTAAATTGACTAGCGTGATCGAATACCAACACCACATCCACGTTGCTCGATAGTGAAATGAATACAACTAAGGGAATGCAGACAGCAGACGTAGTCTGAGCTCGTGATCGTACGAGTGGGAGTAGATCCTGCGAGCGATTGATTCGTGCAGGTCGTGTCGACTGTGTTTGTGAAGCGCGATGGGTGGGTTGGTCTTTTTTGTGACGGCTTGGTGTGAGATGTCCTTTCTGCGCGCGGGTAGCTCAGTGGTAGAGCGTTCGATTGCAGCTCGAATGGTCGCTGGTTCAATCCCGGTCTCGCGCTTGTTGTTGCTCTCATCATTGCCCGCTTGGTCGGATGTTCTGCGATTGTTAGGCTTCGAACGTTAAGAAGTGGTTGCATCGCATGACCCTCTCACCCTTGCTTTGCTTGTGGCTGTTGTCCACCGGTGACCTAGTCGATTCAGCAATGCGCTCAAGGTGCATTCCACCTCTCTGTTTGTTTCGAGGAACTAGCACTGATCTGGATGGATCGTCGCCCAAGCTAATCGTCTCATGATGTGTCTTTGTTAAGTTTCTATTTCCACTGCATTGGTCGAACCCACCTGGGTTGCTTTGCGCCGTTTAAATTGACTAGCGTGATCGAATACCAACACCACATCCACGTTGCTCGATAGTGAAATGAATACAACTAAGGGAATGCAGACAGCAGACGTAGTCTGAGCTCGTGATCGTACGAGTGGGAGTAGATCCTGCGAGCGATTGATTCGTGCAGGTCGTGTCGACTGTGTTTGTGAAGCGCGATGGGTGGGTTGGCCTTGATTTTTAACGGCTTGGTGTGAGATGTCCTTTCTGCGCGCGGGTAGCTCAGTGGTAGAGCGTTCGATTGCAGCTCGAATGGTCGCTGGTTCAATCCCGGTCTCGCGCTTGTTGTTGCTCTCATCATTGCCCGCTTGGTCGGATGTTCTGCGATTGTTGGGCTTCGAACGTCAAGAAGTGGTTGCATCGCATGACCCTCTCACCCTTGCTTTGCTTGTGGCTGTTGTCCACCGGTGACCTAGTCGATTCAGCAATGCGCTCAAGGTGCATTCCACCTCTCTGTTGGTTCCGATGGACTAGCACTGATTTGGATGGATCGTCGCCCAAGCTTATCGTCTCATGATGTTCCTTCTTAAGTTTCTATTTCCACTGCATTGCTCACCAGGGTTGCTTTGCGCCGTTTAAATTGACTAGCGTGATCGAATACCAACACCACATCCACGTTGCTCGATAGTGAAATGAATGCAACTAAGGGAATGCAGACAGCAGACGTAGTCTGAGCTCGTGATCGTACTAGTGGGAGTAGATCCTGCGAGCGATTGATTCGTGCAGTTCGTGTCGACTGTGTTTGTGAAGCGCGATGGGTGGGTTGGTCTTTTTTTGTGACGGCTTGGTGTGAGATGTCCTTTCTGCGCGCGGGTAGCTCAGTGGTAGAGCGTTCGATTGCAGCTCGAATGGTCGCTGGTTCAATCCCGGTCTCGCGCTTGTTGTTGCTCTCACCATTGCCCGCTTGGTCGGATGTTCTGCGATTGTTGGGCTTCGAACGTCAAGAAGTGGTTGCATCGCATGACCCTCTCACCCTTGCTTTGCTTGTGGCTGTTGTCCACCGGTGACCTCGTCGATTCAGCAATGCGCTCAAGGTGCATTCCACCTCTCTGTTGGTTCCGATGGACTAACACTGATTTGGATGGATCGTCGCCCAAGCTTATCGTCTCATGATGTTCCTTCTTAAGTTTCTATTTCCACTGCATTGCTCACCAGGGTTGCTTTGCACCGTTTAAATTGACTAGCGTGATCGAATACCAACACCACATCCACGTTGCTCGATAGTGAAATGAATGCAACTAAGGGAATGCAGACAGCAGATGTAGTCTGAGCTCGTGATCGTACTAGTGGGAGTAGATTCTGCGAGCGATTGATTCGTGCAGTTCGTGTCGACTGTGATTGTGAAGCGCGATGGGTGGGTTGGTCTTTTTTGTGACGGCTTGGTGTGAGATGTCCTTTCTGCGCGCGGGTAGCTCAGTGGTAGAGCGTTCGATTGCAGCTCGAATGGTCGCTGGTTCAATCCCGGTCTCGCGCTTGTTGTTGCTCTCATCATTGCCCGCTTGGTCGGATGTTCTGCGATTGTTAGGCTTCGAACGTTAAGAAGTGGTTGCATCGCATGACCCTCTCACCCTTGCTTTGCTTGTGGCTGTTGTCCACCGGTGACCCTAGTCGATTCAGCAATGCGCTCAAGGTGCATTCCACCTCTCTGTTGGTTCCGATGGACTAACACTGATTTGGATGGATCGTCGCCCAAGCTTATCGTCTCATGATGTTCCTTCTTAAGTTTCTATTTCCACTGCATTGCTCACCAGGGTTGCTTTGCACCGTTTAAATTGACTAGCGTGATCGAATACCAACACCACATCCACGTTGCTCGATAGTGAAATGAATGCAACTAAGGGAATGCAGACAGCAGATGTAGTCTGAGCTCGTGATCGTACTAGTGGGAGTAGATTCTGCGAGCGATTGATTCGTGCAGTTCGTGTCGACTGTGATTGTGAAGCGCGATGGGTGGGTTGGTCTTTTTTGTGACGGCTTGGTGTGAGATGTCCTTTCTGCGCGCGGGTAGCTCAGTGGTAGAGCGTTCGATTGCAGCTCGAATGGTCGCTGGTTCAATCCCGGTCTCGCGCTTGTTGTTGCTCTCATCATTGCCCGCTTGGTCGGATGTTCTGCGATTGTTGGGCTTCGAACGTCAAGAAGTGGTTGCATCGCATGACCCTCTCACCCTTGCTTTGCTTGTGGCTGTTGTCCACCGGTGACCTAGTCGATTCAGCAATGCGCTCAAGGTGCATTCCACCTCTCTGTTGGTTCCGATGGACTAGCACTGATTTGGATGGATCGTCGCCCAAGCTTATCGTCTCATGATGTGTCCTTCTTAAGTTTCTATTTCCACTGCATTGCTCACCAGGGTTGCTTTGCACCGTTTAAATTGACTAGCGTGATCGAATACCAACACCACATCCACGTTGCTCGATAGTGAAATGAATGCAACTAAGGGAATGCAGACAGCAGACGTAGTCTGAGCTCGTGATCGTACGAGTGGGAGTAGATCCTGCGAGCGATTGATTCGTGCAGTTCGTGTCGACTGTGTTTGTGAAGCGCGATGGGTGGGTTGGTCTTTTTTTGTGACGGCTTGGTGTGAGATGTCCTTTCTGCGCGCGGGTAGCTCAGTGGTAGAGCGTTCGATTGCAGCTCGAATGGTCGCTGGTTCAATCCCGGTCTCGCGCTTGTTGTTGCTCTCATCATTGCCCGCTTGGTCGGATGTTCTGCGATTGTTGGGCTTCGAACGTCAAGAAGTGGTTGCATCGCATGACCCTCTCACCCTTGCTTTGCTTGTGGCTGTTGTCCACCGGTGACCTAGTCGATTCAGCAATGCGCTCAAGGTGCATTCCACCTCTCTGTTGGTTCCGATGGACTAGCACTGATTTGGATGGATCGTCGCCCAAGCTTATCGTCTCATGATGTTCCTTCTTAAATTTCTATTTCCACTGCATTGCTCACTAGGGTTGCTTTGCGCCGTTTAAATTGACTAGCGTGATCGAATACCAACACCACATCCACGTTGCTCGATAGTGAAATGAATGCAACTAAGGGAATGCAGACAGCAGACGTAGTCTGAGCTCGTGATCGTACTAGTGGGAGTAGATCCTGCGAGCGATTGATTCGTGCAGTTCGTGTCGACTGTGATTGTGAAGCGCGATGGGTGGGCTGGCCTTTTTTGTAACGGCTTGGTGTGAGATGTCCTTTCTGCGCGCGGGTAGCTCAGTGGTAGAGCGTTCGATTGCAGCTCGAAGGGTCACTGGTTCAATCCCGGTCCCGCGCTTGTTGTTGCTCTCTCATCATTGCCCGCTTGGTCGGATGTTCTGCGATTGTTAGGCTTCGAACGTCAAGAAGTGGTTGCATCGCATGACCCTCTCACCCTTGCTTTGCTTGTGGCTGTTGTCCACCGGTGACCTAGTCGATTCAGCAATGCGCTCAAGGTGCATTCCACCTCTCTGTTGGTTCCGATGGACTAACACTGATTTGGATGGATCGTCGCCCAAGCTTATCGTCTCATGATGTTCCTTCTTAAGTTTCTATTTCCACTGCATTGCTCACCAGGGTTGCTTTGCACCGTTTAAATTGACTAGCGTGATCGAATACCAACACCACATCCACGTTGCTCGATAGTGAAATGAATGCAACTAAGGGAATGCAGACAGCAGACGTAGTCTGAGCTCGTGATCGTACGAGTGGGAGTAGATCCTGCGAGCGATTGATTCGTGCAGTTCGTGTCGACTGTGATTGTGAAGCGCGATGGGTGGGTTGGTCTTTTGTTTTGTGACGGCTTGGTGTGAGATGTCCTTTCTGCGCGCGGGTAGCTCAGTGGTAGAGCGTTCGATTGCAGCTCGAATGGTCGCTGGTTCAATCCCGGTCTCGCGCTTGTTGTTGCTCTCATCATTGCCCGCTTGGTCGGATGTTCTGCGATTGTTAGGCTTCGAACGTTAAGAAGTGGTTGCATCGCATGACCCTCTCACCCTTGCTTTGCTTGTGGCTGTTGTCCACCGGTGACCTAGTCGATTCAGCAATGCGCTCAAGGTGCATTCCACCTCTCTGTTGGTTCCGATGGACTAACACTGATTTGGATGGATCGTCGCCCAAGCTTATCGTCTCATGATGTTCCTTCTTAAGTTTCTATTTCCACTGCATTGCTCACCAGGGTTGCTTTGCACCGTTTAAATTGACTAGCGTGATCGAATACCAACACCACATCCACGTTGCTCGATAGTGAAATGAATGCAACTAAGGGAATGCAGACAGCAGACGTAGTCTGAGCTCGTGATCGTACGAGTGGGAGTAGATCCTGCGAGCGATTGATTCGTGCAGTTCGTGTCGACTGTGTTTGTGAAGCGCGATGGGTGGGTTGGTCTTTTTTTGTGACGGCTTGGTGTGAGATGTCCTTTCTGCGCGCGGGTAGCTCAGTGGTAGAGCGTTCGATTGCAGCTCGAATGGTCGCTGGTTCAATCCCGGTCTCGCGCTTGTTGTTGCTCTCATCATTGCCCGCTTGGTCGGATGTTCTGCGATTGTTGGGCTTCGAACGTCAAGAAGTGGTTGCATCGCATGACCCTCTCACCCTTGCTTTGCTTGTGGCTGTTGTCCACCGGTGACCTAGTCGATTCAGCAATGCGCTCAAGGTGCATTCCACCTCTCTGTTGGTTCCGATGGACTAACACTGATTTGGATGGATCGTCGCCCAAGCTTATCGTCTCATGATGTTCCTTCTTAAGTTTCTATTTCCACTGCATTGCTCACCAGGGTTGCTTTGCACCGTTTAAATTGACTAGCGTGATCGAATACCAACACCACATCCACGTTGCTCGATAGTGAAATGAATGCAACTAAGCGAATGCAGACAGCAGATGTAGTCTGAGCTCGTGATCGTACTAGTGGGAGTAGATTCTGCGAGCGATTGATTCGTGCAGTTCGTGTCGACTGTGATTGTGAAGCGCGATGGGTGGGTTGGTCTTTTTTGTGACGGCTTGGTGTGAGATGTCCTTTCTGCGCGCGGGTAGCTCAGTGGTAGAGCGTTCGATTGCAGCTCGAATGGTCGCTGGTTCAATCCCGGTCTCGCGCTTGTTGTTGCTCTCATCATTGCCCGCTTGGTCGGATGTTCTGCGATTGTTAGGCTTCGAACGTTAAGAAGTGGTTGCATCGCATGACCCTCTCACCCTTGCTTTGCTTGTGGCTGTTGTCCACCGGTGACCTAGTCGATTCAGCAATGCGCTCAAGGTGCATTCCACCTCTCTGTTGGTTCCGATGGACTAACACTGATTTGGATGGATCGTCGCCCAAGCTTATCGTCTCATGATGTTCCTTCTTAAGTTTCTATTTCCACTGCATTGCTCACCACCGGGTTGCTTTGCACCGTTTAAATTGACTAGCGTGATCGAATACCAACACCACATCCACGTTGCTCGATAGTGAAATGAATGCAACTAAGGGAATGCAGACAGCAGACGTAGTCTGAGCTCGTGATCGTACGAGTGGGAGTAGATCCTGCGAGCGATTGATTCGTGCAGTTCGTGTCGACTGTGTTTGTGAAGCGCGATGGGTGGGTTGGTCTTTTTTTTGTGACGGCTTGGTGTGAGATGTCCTTTCTGCGCGCGGGTAGCTCAGTGGTAGAGCGTTCGATTGCAGCTCGAATGGTCGCTGGTTCAATCCCGGTCTCGCGCTTGTTGTTGCTCTCATCATTGCCCGCTTGGTCGGATGTTCTGCGATTGTTGGGCTTCGAACGTTAAGAAGTGGTTGCATCGCATGACCCTCTCACCCTTGCTTTGCTTGTGGCTGTTGTCCACCGGTGACCTAGTCGATTCAGCAATGCGCTCAAGGTGCATTCCACCTCTCTGTTGGTTCCGATGGACTAACACTGATTTGGATGGATCGTCGCCCAAGCTTATCGTCTCATGATGTTCCTTCTTAAGTTTCTATTTCCACTGCATTGCTCACTAGGGTTGCTTTGCACCGTTTAAATTGACTAGCGTGATCGAATACCAACACCACATCCACGTTGCTCGATAGTGAAATGAATGCAACTAAGGGAATGCAGACAGCAGACGTAGCCTGAGCTCGTGATCGTACGAGTGGGAGTAGATCCTGCGAGCGATTGATTCGTGCAGTTCGTGTCGACTGTGATTGTGAAGCGCGATGGGTGGGTTGGTCTTTTTTGTGACGGCTTGGTGTGAGATGTCCTTTCTGCGCGCGGGTAGCTCAGTGGTAGAGCGTTCGATTGCAGCTCGAATGGTCGCTGGTTCAATCCCGGTCTCGCGCTTGTTGTTGCTCTCATCATTGCCCGCTTGGTCGGATGTTCTGCGATTGTTAGGCTTCGAACGTTAAGAAGTGGTTGCATCGCATGACCCTCTCACCCTTGCTTTGCTTGTGGCTGTTGTCCACCGGTGACCTAGTCGATTCAGCAATGCGCTCAAGGTGCATTCCACCTCTCTGTTGGTTCCGATGGACTAACACTGATTTGGATGGATCGTCGCCCAAGCTTATCGTCTCATGATGTTCCTTCTTAAGTTTCTATTTCCACTGCATTGCTCACCAGGGTTGCTTTGCACCGTTTAAATTGACTAGCGTGATCGAATACCAACACCACATCCACGTTGCTCGATAGTGAAATGAATGCAACTAAGGGAATGCAGACAGCAGACGTAGTCTGAGCTCGTGATCGTACGAGTGGGAGTAGATCCTGCGAGCGATTGATTCGTGCAGTTCGTGTCGACTGTGATTGTGAAGCGCGATGGGTGGGTTGGTCTTTTTTTGTGACGGCTTGGTGTGAGATGTCCTTTCTGCGCGCGGGTAGCTCAGTGGTAGAGCGTTCGATTGCAGCTCGAATGGTCGCTGGTTCAATCCCGGTCTCGCGCTTGTTGTTGCTCTCATCATTGCCCGCTTGGTCGGATGTTCTGCGATTGTTGGGCTTCGAACGTTAAGAAGTGGTTGCATCGCATGACCCTCTCACCCTTGCTTTGCTTGTGGCTGTTGTCCACCGGTGACCTAGTCGATTCAGCAATGCGCTCAAGGTGCATTCCACCTCTCTGTTGGTTCCGATGGACTAACACTGATTTGGATGGATCGTCGCCCAAGCTTATCGTCTCATGATGTTCCTTCTTAAGTTTCTATTTCCACTGCATTGCTCACCAGGGTTGCTTTGCACCGTTTAAATTGACTAGCGTGATCGAATACCAACACCACATCCACGTTGCTCGATAGTGAAATGAATGCAACTAAGGGAATGCAGACAGCAGACGTAGTCTGAGCTCGTGATCGTACGAGTGGGAGTAGATCCTGCGAGCGATTGATTCGTGCAGTTCGTGTCGACTGTGTTTGTGAAGCGCGATGGGTGGGTTGGTCTTTTTTGTGACGGCTTGGTGTGAGATGTCCTTTCTGCGCGCGGGTAGCTCAGTGGTAGAGCGTTCGATTGCAGCTCGAATGGTCGCTGGTTCAATCCCGGTCTCGCGCTTGTTGTTGCTCTCATCATTGCCCGCTTGGTCGGATGTTCTGCGATTGTTGGGCTTCGAACGTCAAGAAGTGGTTGCATCGCATGACCCTCTCACCCTTGCTTTGCTTGTGGCTGTTGTCCACCGGTGACCTAGTCGATTCAGCAATGCGCTCAAGGTGCATTCCACCTCTCTGTTGGTTCCGATGGACTAGCACTGATTTGGATGGATCGTCGCCCAAGCTTATCGTCTCATGATGTTCCTTCTTAAGTTTCTATTTCCACTGCATTGCTCACCAGGGTTGCTTTGCGCCGTTTAAATTGACTAGCGTGATCGAATACCAACACCACATCCACGTTGCTCGATAGTGAAATGAATGCAACTAAGGGAATGCAGACAGCAGATGTAGTCTGAGCTCGTGATCGTACTAGTGGGAGTAGATCCTGCGAGCGATTGATTCGTGCAGTTCGTGTCGACTGTGATTGTGAAGCGCGATGGGTGGGTTGGTCTTTTTTGTGACGGCTTGGTGTGAGATGTCCTTTCTGCGCGCGGGTAGCTCAGTGGTAGAGCGTTCGATTGCAGCTCGAATGGTCGCTGGTTCAATCCCGGTCTCGCGCTTGTTGTTGCTCTCATCATTGCCCGCTTGGTCGGATGTTCTGCGATTGTTAGGCTTCGAACGTTAAGAAGTGGTTGCATCGCATGACCCTCTCACCCTTGCTTTGCTTGTGGCTGTTGTCCACCGGTGGCCCAGTCGATTCAGCAATGCGCTCAAGGTGCATTCCACCTCTCTGTTGGTTCCGATGGACTAACACTGATTTGGATGGATCGTCGCCCAAGCTTATCGTCTCATGATGTTCCTTCTTAAGTTTCTATTTCCACTGCATTGCTCACCAGGGTTGCTTTGCGCCGTTTAAATTGACTAGCGTGATCGAATACCAACACCACATCCACGTTGCTCGATAGTGAAATGAATGCAACTAAGGGAATGCAGACAGCAGACGTAGTCTGAGCTCGTGATCGTACGAGTGGGAGTAGATCCTGCGAGCGATTGATTCGTGCAGTTCGTGTCGACTGTGTTTGTGAAGCGCGATGGGTGGGTTGGTCTTTTTTGTGACGGCTTGGTGTGAGATGTCCTTTCTGCGCGCGGGTAGCTCAGTGGTAGAGCGTTCGATTGCAGCTCGAAGGGTCACTGGTTCAATCCCGGTCCCGCGCTTGTTGTTGCTCTCACCATTGCCCGCTTGGTCGGATGTTCTGCGATTGTTGGGCTTCGAACGTCAAGAAGTGGTTGCATCGCATGACCCTCTCACCCTTGCTTTGCTTGTGGCTGTTGTCCACCGGTGGCCCAGTCGATTCAGCAATGCGCTCAAGGTGCATTCCACCTCTCTGTTGGTTCCGATGAACTAGCACTGATTTGGATGGATCGTCGCCCAAGCTTATCGTCTCATGATGTGTCCTTGTTAAGTTTCTATTTCCACTGCATTGCTCACCAGGGTTGCTTTGCGCCGTTTAAATTGACTAGCGTGATCGAATACCAACACCACATCCACGTTGCTCGATAGTGAAATGAATGCAACTAAGGGAATGCAGACAGCAGATGTAGTCTGAGCTCGTGATCGTACTAGTGGGAGTAGATCCTGCGAGCGATTGATTCGTGCAGTTCGTGTCGACTGTGTTTGTGAAGCGCGATGGGTGGGTTGGTCTTTTTTTGTGACGGCTTGGTGTGAGATGTCCTTTCTGCGCGCGGGTAGCTCAGTGGTAGAGCGTTCGATTGCAGCTCGAATGGTCGCTGGTTCAATCCCGGTCTCGCGCTTGTTGTTGCTCTCACCATTGCCCGCTTGGTCGGATGTTCTGCGATTGTTAGGCTTCGAACGTTAAGAAGTGGTTGCATCGCATGACCCTCTCACCCTTGCTTTGCTTGTGGCTGTTGTCCACCGGTGACCTAGTCGATTCAGCAATGCGCTCAAGGTGCATTCCACCTCTCTGTTGGTTCCGATGGACTAACACTGATTTGGATGGATCGTCGCCCAAGCTTATCGTCTCATGATGTTCCTTCTTAAGTTTCTATTTCCACTGCATTGCTCACCAGGGTTGCTTTGCGCCGTTTAAATTGACTAGCGTGATCGAATACCAACACCACATCCACGTTGCTCGATAGTGAAATGAATGCAACTAAGGGAATGCAGACAGCAGATGTAGTCTGAGCTCGTGATCGTACTAGTGGGAGTAGATCCTGCGAGCGATTGATTCGTGCAGTTCGTGTCGACTGTGATTGTGAAGCGCGATGGGTGGGTTGGTCTTTTTTTGTGACGGCTTGGTGTGAGATGTCCTTTCTGCGCGCGGGTAGCTCAGTGGTAGAGCGTTCGATTGCAGCTCGAATGGTCGCTGGTTCAATCCCGGTCTCGCGCTTGTTGTTGCTCTCATCATTGCCCGCTTGGTCGGATGTTCTGCGATTGTTGGGCTTCGAACGTTAAGAAGTGGTTGCATCGCATGACCCTCTCACCCTTGCTTTGCTTGTGGCTGTTGTCCACCGGTGGCCCAGTCGATTCAGCAATGCGCTCAAGGTGCATTCCACCTCTCTGTTGGTTCCGATGGACTAGCACTGATTTGGATGGATCGTCGCCCAAGCTTATCGTCTCATGATGTGTCCTTCTTAAGTTTCTATTTCCACTGCATTGCTCACCAGGGTTGCTTTGCGCCGTTTAAATTGACTAGCGTGATCGAATACCAACACCACATCCACGTTGCTCGATAGTGAAATGAATGCAACTAAGGGAATGCAGACAGCAGATGTAGTCTGAGCTCGTGATCGTACGAGTGGGAGTAGATCCTGCGAGCGATTGATTCGTGCAGTTCGTGTCGACTGTGTTTGTGAAGCGCGATGGGTGGGTTGGTCTTTTTTTGTGACGGCTTGGTGTGAGATGTCCTTTCTGCGCGCGGGTAGCTCAGTGGTAGAGCGTTCGATTGCAGCTCGAATGGTCGCTGGTTCAATCCCGGTCTCGCGCTTGTTGTTGCTCTCACCATTGCCCGCTTGGTCGGATGTTCTGCGATTGTTGGGCTTCGAACGTCAAGAAGTGGTTGCATCGCATGACCCTCTCACCCTTGCTTTGCTTGTGGCTGTTGTCCACCGGTGGCCCAGTCGATTCAGCAATGCGCTCAAGGTGCATTCCACCTCTCTGTTGGTTCCGATGAACTAGCACTGATTTGGATGGATCGTCGCCCAAGCTTATCGTCTCATGATGTGTCCTTCTTAAGTTTCTATTTCCACTGCATTGCTCACCAGGGTTGCTTTGCGCCGTTTAAATTGACTAGCGTGATCGAATACCAACACCACATCCACGTTGCTCGATAGTGAAATGAATGCAACTAAGGGAATGCAGACAGCAGACGTAGTCTGAGCTCGTGATCGTACTAGTGGGAGTAGATCCTGCGAGCGATTGATTCGTGCAGTTCGTGTCGACTGTGTTTGTGAAGCCCGATGGGTGGGTTGGTCTTTTTTTTGTGACGGCTTGGTGTGAGATGTCCTTTCTGCGCGCGGGTAGCTCAGTGGTAGAGCGTTCGATTGCAGCTCGAATGGTCGCTGGTTCAATCCCGGTCTCGCGCTTGTTGTTGCTCTCACCATTGCCCGCTTGGTCGGATGTTCTGCGATTGTTGGGCTTCGAACGTCAAGAAGTGGTTGCATCGCATGACCCTCTCACCCTTGCTTTGCTTGTGGCTGTTGTCCACCGGTGGCCCAGTCGATTCAGCAATGCGCTCAAGGTGCATTCCACCTCTCTGTTGGTTTCGATGAACTAGCACTGATTTGGATGGATCGTCGCCCAAGCTTATCGTCTCATGATGTGTCTTTCTTAAGTTTCTATTTCCACTGCATTGGTCCCCACCAGGGTTGCTTTGCGCCGTTTAAATTGACTAGCGTGATCGAATACCAACACCACATCCACGTTGCTCGATAGTGAAATGAATGCAACTAAGGGAATGCAGACAGCAGACGTAGTCTGAGCTCGTGATCGTACTAGTGGGAGTAGATCCTGCGAGCGATTGATTCGTGCAGTTCGTGTCGACTGTGTTTGTGAAGCGCGATGGGTGGGTTGGTCTTTTTTGTGACGGCTTGGTGTGAGATGTCCTTTCTGCGCGCGGGTAGCTCAGTGGTAGAGCGTTCGATTGCAGCTCGAAGGGTCACTGGTTCAATCCCGGTCCCGCGCTTGTTGTTGCTCTCACCATTGCCCGCTTGGTCGGATGTTCTGCGATTGTTGGGCTTCGAACGTCAAGAAGTGGTTGCATTGCATGACCCTCTCACCCTTGCTTTGCTTGTGGCTGTTGTCCACCGGTGGCCCAGTCGATTCAGCAATGCGCTCAAGGTGCATTCCACCTCTCTGTTGGTTTCCGATGAACTAGCACTGATTTGGATGGATCGTCGCCCAAGCTTATCGTCTCATGATGTGTCCTTCTTAAGTTTCTATTTCCACTGCATTGGTCGAACCCACCAGGGTTGCTTTGCGCCGTTTAAATTGACTAGCGTGATCGAATACCAACACCACATCCACGTTGCTCGATAGTGAAATGAATGCAACTAAGGGAATGCAGACAGCAGACGTAGTCTGAGCTCGTGATCGTACGAGTGGGAGTAGATCCTGCGAGCGATTGATTCGTGCAGTTCGTGTCGACTGTGTTTGTGAAGCGCGATGGGTGGGTTGGTCTTTTTTGTGACGGCTTGGTGTGAGATGTCCTTTCTGCGCGCGGGTAGCTCAGTGGTAGAGCGTTCGATTGCAGCTCGAATGGTCGCTGGTTCAATCCCGGTCTCGCGCTTGTTGTTGCTCTCACCATTGCCCGCTTGGTCGGATGTTCTGCGATTGTTGGGCTTCGAACGTCAAGAAGTGGTTGCATCGCATGACCCTCTCACCCTTGCTTTGCTTGTGGCTGTTGTCCACCGGTGGCCCAGTCGATTCAGCAATGCGCTCAAGGTGCATTCCACCTCTCTGTTGGTTTCGATGAACTAGCACTGATTTGGATGGATCGTCGCCCAAGCTTATCGTCTCATGATGTGTCTTTGTTAAGTTTCTATTTCCACTGCATTGCTCACCAGGGTTGCTTTGCGCCGTTTAAATTGACTAGCGTGATCGAATACCAACACCACATCCACGTTGCTCGATAGTGAAATGAATGCAACTAAGCGAATGCAGACAGCAGATGTAGTCTGAGCTCGTGATCGTACGAGTGGGAGTAGATCCTGCGAGCGATTGATTCGTGCAGTTCGTGTCGACTGTGTTTGTGAAGCGCGATGGGTGGGTTGGTCTTTTTTTTTGACGGCTTGGTGTGAGATGTCCTTTCTGCGCGCGGGTAGCTCAGTGGTAGAGCGTTCGATTGCAGCTCGAATGGTCGCTGGTTCAATCCCGGTCTCGCGCTTGTTGTTGCTCTCATCATTGCCCGCTTGGTCGGATGTTCTGCGATTGTTGGGCTTCGAACGTCAAGAAGTGGTTGCATCGCATGACCCTCTCACCCTTGCTTTGCTTGTGGCTGTTGTCCACCGGTGGCCCAGTCGATTCAGCAATGCGCTCAAGGTGCATTCCACCTCTCTGTTGGTTCCGATGGACTAGCACTGATTTGGATGGATCGTCGCCCAAGCTTATCGTCTCATGATGTTCCTTCTTAAATTTCTATTTCCACTGCATTGCTCACTAGGGTTGCTTTGCGCCGTTTAAATTGACTAGCGTGATCGAATACCAACACCACATCCACGTTGCTCGATAGTGAAATGAATGCAACTAAGGGAATGCAGACAGCAGACGTAGTCTGAGCTCGTGATCGTACTAGTGGGAGTAGATCCTGCGAGCGATTGATTCGTGCAGTTCGTGTCGACTGTGTTTGTGAAGCGCGATGGGTGGGTTGGTCTTTTTTTGTGACGGCTTGGTGTGAGATGTCCTTTCTGCGCGCGGGTAGCTCAGTGGTAGAGCGTTCGATTGCAGCTCGAATGGTCGCTGGTTCAATCCCGGTCTCGCGCTTGTTGTTGCTCTCACCATTGCCCGCTTGGTCGGATGTTCTGCGATTGTTGGGCTTCGAACGTCAAGAAGTGGTTGCATTGCATGACCCTCTCACCCTTGCTTTGCTTGTGGCTGTTGTCCACCGGTGGCCCAGTCGATTCAGCAATGCGCTCAAGGTGCATTCCACCTCTCTGTTGGTTTCGATGAACTAGCACTGATTTGGATGGATCGTCGCCCAAGCTTATCGTCTCATGATGTGTCTTTGTTAAGTTTCTATTTCCACTGCATTGGTCGAACCCACCTGGGTTGCTTTGCGCCGTTTAAATTGACTAGCGTGATCGAATACCAACACCACATCCACGTTGCTCGATAGTGAAATGAATGCAACTAAGGGAATGCAGACAGCAGACGTAGTCTGAGCTCGTGATCGTACGAGTGGGAGTAGATCCTGCGAGCGATTGATTCGTGCAGTTCGTGTCGACTGTGTTTGTGAAGCGCGATGGGTGGGTTGGTCTTTTGTTTTTTGACGGCTTGGTGTGAGATGTCCTTTCTGCGCGCGGGTAGCTCAGTGGTAGAGCGTTCGATTGCAGCTCGAATGGTCGCTGGTTCAATCCCGGTCTCGCGCTTGTTGTTGCTCTCACCATTGCCCGCTTGGTCGGATGTTCTGCGATTGTTGGGCTTCGAACGTCAAGAAGTGGTTGCATCGCATGACCCTCTCACCCTTGCTTTGCTTGTGGCTGTTGTCCACCGGTGGCCCAGTCGATTCAGCAATGCGCTCAAGGTGCATTCCACCTCTCTGTTGGTTCCGATGGACTAGCACTGATTTGGATGGATCGTCGCCCAAGCTTATCGTCTCATGATGTGTCTTTGTTAAGTTTCTATTTCCACTGCATTGGTCCCCACCAGGGTTGCTTTGCGCCGTTTAAATTGACTAGCGTGATCGAATACCAACACCACATCCACGTTGCTCGATAGTGAAATGAATGCAACTAAGGGAATGCAGACAGCAGACGTAGTCTGAGCTCGTGATCGTACTAGTGGGAGTAGATCCTGCGAGCGATTGATTCGTGCAGTTCGTGTCGACTGTGTTTGTGAAGCGCGATGGGTGGGTTGGTCTTTTTTTTTGACGGCTTGGTGTGAGATGTCCTTTCTGCGCGCGGGTAGCTCAGTGGTAGAGCGTTCGATTGCAGCTCGAATGGTCGCTGGTTCAATCCCGGTCTCGCGCTTGTTGTTGCTCTCACCATTGCCCGCTTGGTCGGATGTTCTGCGATTGTTAGGCTTCGAACGTCAAGAAGTGGTTGCATCGCATGACCCTCTCACCCTTGCTTTGCTTGTGGCTGTTGTCCACCGGTGGCCCAGTCGATTCAGCAATGCGCTCAAGGTGCATTCCACCTCTCTGTTGGTTCCGATGAACTAGCACTGATTTGGATGGATCGTCGCCCAAGCTTATCGTCTCATGATGTGTCTTTGTTAAGTTTCTATTTCCACTGCATTGCTCACCAGGGTTGCTTTGCGCCGTTTAAATTGACTAGCGTGATCGAATACCAACACCACATCCACGTTGCTCGATAGTGAAATGAATGCAACTAAGCGAATGCAGACAGCAGATGTAGTCTGAGCTCGTGATCGTACGAGTGGGAGTAGATCCTGCGAGCGATTGATTCGTGCAGTTCGTGTCGACTGTGTTTGTGAAGCGCGATGGGTGGGTTGGTCTTTTTTTGTGACGGCTTGGTGTGAGATGTCCTTTCTGCGCGCGGGTAGCTCAGTGGTAGAGCGTTCGATTGCAGCTCGAATGGTCGCTGGTTCAATCCCGGTCTCGCGCTTGTTGTTGCTCTCACCATTGCCCGCTTGGTCGGATGTTCTGCGATTGTTGGGCTTCGAACGTCAAGAAGTGGTTGCATTGCATGACCCTCTCACCCTTGCTTTGCTTGTGGCTGTTGTCCACCGGTGGCCCAGTCGATTCAGCAATGCGCTCAAGGTGCATTCCACCTCTCTGTTGGTTTCGATGAACTAGCACTGATTTGGATGGATCGTCGCCCAAGCTTATCGTCTCATGATGTGTCTTTGTTAAGTTTCTATTTCCACTGCATTGGTCCACCAGGGTTGCTTTGCGCCGTTTAAATTGACTAGCGTGATCGAATACCAACACCACATCCACGTTGCTCGATAGTGAAATGAATGCAACTAAGCGAATGCAGACAGCAGACGTAGTCTGAGCTCGTGATCGTACTAGTGGGAGTAGATCCTGCGAGCGATTGATTCGTGCAGTTCGTGTCGACTGTGTTTGTGAAGCGCGATGGGTGGGTTGGTCTTTTTTTGTGACGGCTTGGTGTGAGATGTCCTTTCTGCGCGCGGGTAGCTCAGTGGTAGAGCGTTCGATTGCAGCTCGAATGGTCGCTGGTTCAATCCCGGTCTCGCGCTTGTTGTTGCTCTCACCATTGCCCGCTTGGTCGGATGTTCTGCGATTGTTGGGCTTCGAACGTCAAGAAGTGGTTGCATTGCATGACCCTCTCACCCTTGCTTTGCTTGTGGCTGTTGTCCACCGGTGGCCCAGTCGATTCAGCAATGCGCTCAAGGTGCATTCCACCTCTCTGTTTGTTTCGATGAACTAGCACTGATTTGGATGGATCGTCGCCCAAGCTTATCGTCTCATGATGTGTCTTTGTTAAGTTTCTATTTCCACTGCATTGGTCGAACCCACCTGGGTTGCTTTGCGCCGTTTAAATTGACTAGCGTGATCGAATACCAACACCACATCCACGTTGCTCGATAGTGAAATGAATGCAACTAAGGGAATGCAGACAGCAGACGTAGTCTGAGCTCGTGATCGTACTAGTGGGAGTAGATCCTGCGAGCGATTGATTCGTGCAGTTCGTGTCGACTGTGTTTGTGAAGCGCGATGGGTGGGTTGGTCTTTTTTTGTGACGGCTTGGTGTGAGATGTCCTTTCTGCGCGCGGGTAGCTCAGTGGTAGAGCGTTCGATTGCAGCTCGAATGGTCGCTGGTTCAATCCCGGTCTCGCGCTTGTTGTTGCTCTCACCATTGCCCGCTTGGTCGGATGTTCTGCGATTGTTGGGCTTCGAACGTCAAGAAGTGGTGGCATTGCATGACCCTCTCACCCTTGCTTTGCTTGTGGCTGTTGTCCACCGGTGGCCCAGTCGATTCAGCAATGCGCTCAAGGTGCATTCCACCTCTCTGTTGGTTTCGATGAACTAGCACTGATTTGGATGGATCGTCGCCCAAGCTTATCGTCTCATGATGTGTCTTTGTTAAGTTTCTATTTCCACTGCATTGCTCCCCACCAGGGTTGCTTTGCGCCGTTTAAATTGACTAGCGTGATCGAATACCAACACCACATCCACGTTGCTCGATAGTGAAATGAATGCAACTAAGGGAATGCAGACAGCAGACGTAGTCTGAGCTCGTGATCGTACGAGTGGGAGTAGATCCTGCGAGCGATTGATTCGTGCAGGTCGTGTCGACTGTGTTTGTGAAGCGCGATGGGTGGGTTGGTCTTTTGTTTTTTGACGGCTTGGTGTGAGATGTCCTTTCTGCGCGCGGGTAGCTCAGTGGTAGAGCGTTCGATTGCAGCTCGAATGGTCGCTGGTTCAATCCCGGTCTCGCGCTTGTTGTTGCTCTCACCATTGCCCGCTTGGTCGGATGTTCTGCGATTGTTGGGCTTCGAACGTCAAGAAGTGGTGGCATTGCATGACCCTCTCACCCTTGCTTTGCTTGTGGCTGTTGTCCACCGGTGGCCCAGTCGATTCAGCAATGCGCTCAAGGTGCATTCCACCTCTCTGTTGGTTTCGATGAACTAGCACTGATTTGGATGGATCGTCGCCCAAGCTTATCGTCTCATGATGTGTCTTTGTTGTTAGAATTAACTAGGTTGTGGAGCTGATGCTGAGAAGAAGATGGCTTACGGCCGGGGATGAAAACCGAAAAGTGAGTTGTATTCAAATTGTTCCTAGCTTCGAAAACGAATGGCTAGTAGTAGCCGGTGACTCTCAGCCACCTATTTCGTGCCCTGTCTCCACCGCTTTCTGTTTTACCTATCCCTGGGTAATTACGTCTCGTAAATACCTTTCGTAAAAACTCTGCTGTGTCATATGCTGAATGAAAACGATTGCGTGGGTGGGGGACGTAACTGCGGGCGGGTCACAGTTCTGGTGAACCCCAAACACCAGGTCGTGAGTGTCAGTCACAATTAACTTGTACACGGCGGGGATCGAACCCGCACTCACCCGCGTGGAATCCCCCTTCCCAAACGACTGAGCCAATCCGATGACTTGTCGTTTCGCTAACATCCCACAATATAAACCTGCCAAAGAACAATACAACTAATGCAAATATGCAATATACACCCTGCACAAGTCGCCGCATCATCACTCGCTAACACTCTCCCTTGATGTGCGTGCGACGTGTGACCCCTACACCGCCATGCACAAACCCGTGATGAACTTGCTGTGCTTGTCTCTTGATAGTGCTTTGGTGAATCCATCCGCGACCATTTCTTCTGTCGGCTTGAACTCTAGCGCGATAACTGCACTTGCAACCTTTTCACGCAAAAAGTGAAACTTGATGTCGATGTGCTTCGTGCGCGAGTGGTACACAGGATTCTTGGCCAGCGCGATGCATCCTTGATTGTCTTGAAAAATCGTCGTCGCGTTCTTGGCACAGTAGTTCAGGTCCTTGAGCAGACCTCGAAGCCAAATTGCTTCCTGCGTCGCGCTGTACAGACTCATGTACTCTGCTTCCGTACTTGAGGTCGCGACCGTTGGTTGACGCTTCGAATTCCACGATATCACGCTTCCGTTCAGGAAGAAAACGTATCCTGTTGTCGAACGCCGCGTGTCGAGGTCGCCAGCCCAGTTTGCATCTGCAAATCCAATAAGCTCTCCCTTGTTGATGCCGCTGAACACGATGCTTAAGTCTTGAGTCGTCTTGAGATACTTGAGAATCCGCTTTGCTGCTGTCCAATGCGACTTGTCGTAGCGCTCGCAAAACTTCGCAACTTCGCCAACCGCATGCGCAATGTCCGGTCGTGTACATGTGGCGATGTACATTAAAGCGCCCACCAGCTCACGGTATGGGTACTTTGGTACAAACGCTTCCTCTTGACTCATCTTGATCAGCTTCGAATTACTGTCCGCCGGCGTGTGCATGTCCTTGCAGTTCTCAACGCCGAACTTCTCCGAAAGTCGCTTGATGTACGCCTTCTGGTTCATCTTGATCGTTCCATCTTCGCGCTTGCGATGAATCTCGATCCCGAGGCAGTACTTGAGATCTCCAAGATCTTTAATGCTGAAATCTTCCATCAATGAGTTCTTGATACTTGCGATGTGCTCCTTCGTCTTGCAGAAAATCATCAAGTCGTCCACGTAGATCACAATGATGCTGTACTCCTCTCTTGTCACTCGAACGAACACACACGGGTCCGCTGCACTGCTCTTGAATCCTTGATCAACCAAGTGCTGACTCAACTTGTTGTTCCACTGCCGCGCCGCTTGCTTCGTCCCGTATAGCGCCTTCTGCAGCAAACACTTCTTATTCGGGCTTCCTTCATCTTCAAAACCGTCAGGTTGGTCCATGTAGATCTCCTCTTCCACTTCGCCGTAGAGAAACGCTGTGTCGACATCAACGTTCTCTGCTTCCAGGTCTTCAGCTGCAGCGATCGCCCACACTGTGTTGATAGATTCCTTGCGCGCCACTGGTGCAAAGGTCTCGTTGTAGTCGATGCCAGGACGCTGCGTGAACCCTTTCGCAACCAAGCGTGCCTTGAACTTGATGATCTCGCCACTTGGATCGCGTTTAATCTTGAAGACCCACTTGCAGCCAACGGCCTTCTTGCCCGGTGGCATGTCCATTAGCTTCCATGTGCTGTGTTCTTCAAGCGACTTCATCTCTCGCTTCATTGCCTGCAGTCACTGCTCCTTGTAGCCGCTCTTCATCACTTCTTGATAGCTGGACGCTTGTTCCCCATCTTCTTCAGCCGAGAAACAGTAGAAAGAGTCGAAGTCACCTTTGTAGTCGTCCAAATTGAAGTGACCGCGACGATGGCTTGGAAATTCTTGATCGTAGCGAACCACGCCGCGCTTCTTTCGAACCGGTCGCACCATCCACTCTTCTTCTCCATTTCTTCCGGGTGTGCTGGATGCGCGCGTAGGAATGGTGTCGCTTGGTCGAACACTTGGTCCGTGATGAGAGCTGTTCTGCGCTCGAAGTGGTGGGGTGCGCAGCTCTTCTTCGGTCACCGGCGCTGGTATGTCTTCATCATCGGGTAACGACGCCTCCACACTTTCCTCTTCTTCAATGACATCGAACACCCGCGTGTCTCTGCTTTTTGATGCTTTCGAGACAGAATGCTCAGCGAACGTGACGCTTCTTGAAATCACGATTGAGCCATCGTCCGCGTTGAGAAGCCGATACGCCTTTTGGTCCTTCGCATAGCCGAGAAAGAAACATCGCACGCCTGGGTCGTCCAGCTTCTTTCTCTTCTCCTTCGCCACATGCGCATAGCATTGCGCACCAAACACGCGCATGTGATCGATGCGCGGAACCTTCTTGAACACCATCTCGTGTGGGCTTGAGTTCTTGTTCGACGCGTTCGGCAGAATGTTTCTGATGTCTGCCGCTGTCATTAGTGCCTCGCACCAATAGGACTTGTCGAGACCGCTTTCCTTTAGCATACAGCGCGTCATCTCCACCAGCGTGCGGTTCATCCGCTCCGCCATCCCGTTCTGCTCTGGGTTGTACGGAACCGTGAACTCTTGCTTGATGAACTTTGCCTTGCAAAAGCTGTTCATCGTTGCGTTCCGGTATTCGCCGCCGTTGTCACTTCGCAACACCTTTATCTTCGTTCCAGATGCTGTCTTGACATCTTGGTAAAACCGCTTGAACGCACTCGCAACGTCGCTCTTCTTTCGCAACGGATAGACCGTTACATATCTGCTCTTCATCATGATGAAGGTTACGGCGTAACTGAAACCAGACTTGGACGCTGGCGTGATAGGACCGAGAACGTCGGAGCACACCACCACGTCGGAACGCGAACTCTCCCTGGTTTCAGCGTCTTCTTCACTTGTCTTGAATGACTTGCGCACTTGCTTTGACGTTGCGCATACGTCACACGCAACGTTCGTCTTCATCGTTGCGCCCTTGATCCTTCCGTCCTTGACCATGGCATTCAGCGTACCATACGACACGTGACCCAGTCTTCTATGCCATAGCTCTGTGTCGTCTTCGGCCATGTGGCACTCCGTACCATAGTCAGCATTGAGATACAGGAGGAACCCCTGCTTCCTTCCTGTTGCGACGGGTGTGCCGCCACGCTTGACCACGCACTCGTTGCGCGTTATCTCCACTGTCATGCCGCGCGCTGCCGCAGCCGTGAGCGAAAACAGGTTCTTGGACAAATCTTGAACGTGAAGTGTGTTCTCAAGGCGAGCGTCGATCCACGCATGTCCTGTCCAGACGCGCAGCTTCACTGTCCCATGTCCAATGACATTCAGCTTCACGTCGCTCTTTGCGCTTGAAATGCTTCGCGCATGATGCACTTCTTCGTACTCTTCGAACGCATCTCGATCCTTGCACATGTGTGCTGACGCGCCACTGTCCATGACCCAGCTGTTGCTCGCGAAACCTTCGCTGGCATGAAACGCGACATTCGACTGGTCATGCTGTTGCTCCCTTGGCCCTCGACCGGAGCGACAATCTCTGGCGTAGTGTCCGACCTTGCCACAGTTGTAGCAGGTCCCTGATGGTCCTTTCGCGCGCCGTCCTTGTTGCTTCTTCGGGTACTGCTTACCCTTCCTCTTGCCTGCGTAGAGCGCCGTTGCATCTTCTACTCGTGCTCCCTCATTCTGGCGCACTTCTTCGGCGATCAACTTGCTCACGAGGTCACTGAAACTGAAGCTTGCGACGGACATGCGGAATGCCTGTACCAAGCTCTCGAAGCTTGAAGGTAGACTCCGCAACAGTACTGCGCACACGTCCTCTTCACTTGGACCGCAGTTCGCGCGCTTCATCTTCATCACGAGGTCCTCCAGCTCCATCACATGACCGCTCATGCTTGATGCTGCATACTTGAACGACGCGAACTTTTCCTTCAGCCAAAGTCGATTCGCCATGTCATGACTGTGATGAAATCGCGCCAGACGTCCCCACGCTTCTCTTGCGGTGGCCGAGTCGATGACATGCATCAACTGTGAATCGCTCAGATTCAGCACGATCGCGGCGTGGGCTTGCTGTTCCTTGGCCTCACTTGTTGTCTCATCGCCCGCGATCGCGCCCCACAGCCCCTTCGACATCAGGTACATCTTCATCTTGTAACTCCACAACCCATAGTTCGAGCCGTCGAAAGGCTCGACCTTGAAACCGGAGTCGTTCTTTGGGCTCATAACCTGTTAGAATTAACTAGGTTGTGGAGCTGATGCTGAGAAGAAGATGGCTTACGGCCGGGGATGAAAACCTAAAAGTGAGTTGTATTCAAATTGTTCCTAGCTTCGAAAACGAATGGCTAGTAGTAGCCGGTGACTCTCAGCCACCTATTTCGTGCCCTGTCTCCACCGCTTTCTGTTTTACCTATCCCTGGGTAATTACGTCTCGTAAATACCTTTCGTAAAAACTCTGCTGTGTCATATGCAGAATGAAAACGATTGCGTGGGTGGGGGACGTAACTGCGGGCGGGTCACAGTTCTGGTGAACCCCAAACACCAGGTCGTGAGTGTCAGTCACAATTAACTTGTACACGGCGGGGATCGAACCCGCACTCACCCGCGTGGAATCCCCCTTCCCAAACGACTGAGCCAATCCGATGACTTGTCGTTTCGCTAACATCCCACAATATAAACCTGCCAAAGAACAATACAACTAATGCAAATATGCAATATACACCCTGCACAAGTCGCCGCATCATCACTCGCTAACATCTCGAACGGGAGGCACGTGGATCGATGCCATGCATCTCCGGCGTGATCATGTTACGATGACAAAACCAGTCAGCACCAGCACATTCCCAAATGTGCACTTCGCAGTTCAACTGCGTCACCAGCTGACCTTGAGTAACACTTTTTTCAGCACATCTTCGGTTGGTAGTCCCTGTTTTGTTGTACTTATCTGACGATGTGTAGACAATTTGCAATCAAAGCTGCGCTATCGATTGATTTGCGCCGCGTCAAGTCTTGATTATTCTTGCTGTCTTACTTGACAGTATTGTAAAGACGAACAGAAACCACTCGGCTCTGTACATGACTGATGAGGCGCATCTATCTATTTACTTTACAAGCCCGGAGCGCGCACTACCGTCTGGATGCATTCCGACGTGTGTTTTCGAATCGAACATATGCTGCGTAAGAGTTGCTGCAGCCAGGTGAGGCGGTTACGAGCAGCTCAACCTTTGGTGCGATTGTACAGACAGATAATTGTCGCTAGGTTGCAAGATCGGATGATTCTTCATCCCAGATGTTAGTGGCAAGCTCGTATTCAGCAGTGTCCAATATTGAGTTGATGATTTTGCATGCCAGTGCACTGAGTGGTACATATGAAATGGATCCGAATATTCTGACGAGTTGTTTTGTGCTCTTGTAGCGTATGTCAAAAGCATTGTGCGTTTGTGGTTGTGCCATCACTGATTGGAATGTCGTGATAGCAAAGTCAAGAACGACGTATTGTTGTGGCCGTTGTTGTGATTCGGTCTATGCATGCCGGATCGGTATGTTAATAGTGTGTTGACAGTGATAACACGTGAGCATGAGGCTCTGGTTGTCGAGCGCTCGCTTCTCGAACGGGAGGCACGTGGATCGATGCCATGTCTCTCCGGCGTGATCATGTTACGATGACAAAACCAGTCAGCACCAGCACATTCCCAAATGTGCACTTCGCAGTTCAACTGCGTCACCAGCTGACCTTGAGTAACACTTTTTTCAGCACATTTTCGGTTGGTAGTCCCTGTTTTGTTGTACTTATCTGACGATGTGTAGACAATTTGCAATCAAAGCTGCGCTATCGATTGATTTGCGCCGCGTCAAGTCTTGATTCTTCTTGCTGTCTTACTTGACAGTATTGTAAAGACGAACAGAAACCATTCGGCTCTGTACATGACTGATGAGGCGCATCTGTCTATTTACTTTACAAGCCCGGAGCGCGCACTACCATCTGGATGCATTCCGACGTGTGTTTTCGAATCGAACATATGCTGCGTAACAGTTGCTGCAGCCAGGTGAGGCGGTTACGAGCAGCTCAACCTTTGGTGCGATTGTACAGACAGATAATTGTCGCTAGGTTGCAAGATCGGATGATTCTTCATCCCAGATGTTAGTGGCAAGCTCGTATTCAGCAGTGTCCAATATTGAGTTGATGATTTTGCATGCCAGTGCACTGAGTGGTACATATGAAATGGATCCGAATATTCTGACGAGTTGTTTTGTGCTCTTGTAGCGTATGTAAAAAGCGTTGTGCGTTTGTGGTTGTGCCATCACTGATTGGAATGTCGTGATAGCAAAGTCAAGAACGACGTATTGTTGTGGACGTTGTTGTGATTCGGTCTATGCATGCCGGATCGGTATGTTAATAGTGTGTTGACAGTGATAACACGTGAGCATGAGGCTCTGGTTGTCGAGCGCTCGCTTCTCGAACGGGAGGCACGTGGATCGATGCCATGCATCTCCGGCGTGATCATGTTACGATGACAAAACCAGTCAGCACCAGCACATTCCCAAATGTGCACTTCGCAGTTCAACTGCGTCACCAGCTGACCTTGAGTAACACTTTTTTCAGCACATCTTCGGTTGGTAGTCCCTGTTTTGTTGTACTTATCTGACGATGTGTAGACAATTTGCAATCAAAGCTGCGCTATCGATTGATTTGCGCCGCGTCAAGTCTTGATTCTTCTTGCTGTCTTACTTGACAGTATTGTAAAGACGAACAGAAACCACTCGGCTCTGTACATGACTGATGAGGCGCATCTATCTATTTACTTTACAAGCCCGGAGCGCGCACTACCGTCTGGATGAATTCCGACGTGTGTTTTCGAATCGAACATATGCTGCGTAAGAGTTGCTGCAGCCAGGTGAGGCGGTTACGAGCAGCTCAACCTTTGGTGCGATTGTACAGACAGATAATTGTCGCTAGGTTGCAAGATCGGATGATTCTTCATCCCAGATGTTAGTGGCAAGCTCGTATTCAGCAGTGTCCAATATTGAGTTGATGATTTTGCATGCCAGTGCACTGAGTGGTACATATGAAATGGATCCGAATATTCTGACGAGTTGTTTTGTGCTCTTGTAGCGTATGTCAAAAGCATTGTGCGTTTGTGGTTGTGCCATCACTGATTGGAATGTCGTGATAGCAAAGTCAAGAACGACGTATTGTTGTGGCCGTTGTTGTGATTCGGTCTATGCATGCCGGATCGGTATGTTAATAGTGTGTTGACAGTGGTAACACGTGAGCATGAGGCTCTGGTTGTCGAGCGCTCGCTTCTCGAACGGGAGGCACGTGAATCGATGCCATGCATCTCCGGCGTGATCATGTTACGATGACAAAACCAGTCAGCACCAGCACATTCCCAAATGTGCACTTCGCAGTTCAACTGCGTCACCAGCTGACCTTGAGTAACACTTTTTTCAGCACATTTTCGGTTGGTAGTCCCTGTTTTGTTGTACTTATCTGACGATGTGTAGACAATTTGCAATCAAAGCTGCGCTATCGATTGATTTGCGCCGCGTCAAGTCTTGATTCTTCTTGCTGTCTTACTTGACAGTATTGTAAAGACGAACAGAAACCACTCGGCTCTGTACATGACTGATGAGGCGCATCTATCTATTTACTTTACAAGCCCGGAGCGCGCACTACCATCTGGATGCATTCCGACGTGTGTTTTCGAATCGAACATATGCTGCGTAAGAGTTGCTGCAGCCAGGTGAGGCGGTTACGAGCAGCTCAACCTTTGGTGCGATTGTACAGACAGATAATTGTCGCTAGGTTGCAAGATCGGATGATTCTTCATCCCAGATGTTAGTGGCAAGCTCGTATTCAGCAGTGTCCAATATCGAGTCGATGATTTGCATGCCAGTGCACTGAGTGGTGCATATGAAATGGATCCGAATATTCTGACGAGTTGTTTTGTGCTCTTGTAGCGTGTGTAAAAAGCGTTTGTGCGTTTGTGGTTGTGCCATCACTGATTGGAATGTCGTGATAGCAATTTCAAGAATGGCGTATTGTTGTGGCCGTTGTTGTGATTCGGTCTATGCATGCCGGATCGGTATGTTACTAGTGTGTTGAAAGTGGTAACACGTGAGCATGAGGCTCTGGTTGTCGAGCGCTCGCTTCTCGAACAGGAGGCACGTGAATCGATGCCATGTCTCTCCGGCGTGATCATGTTACGATGACAAAACCAGTCAGCACCAGCACATTCCCAAATGTGCACTTCGCAGTTCAACTGCGTCACCAGCTGACCTTGAGTAACACTTTTTTCAGCACATCTTCGGTTGGTAGTCCCTGTTTTGTTGTACTTATCTGACGATGTGTAGACAATTTGCAATCAAAGCTGCGCTATCGATTGATTTGCGCCGCGTCAAGTCTTGATTCTTCTTGCTGTCTTACTTGACAGTATTGTAAAGACGAACAGAAACCACTCGGCTCTGTACATGACTGATGAGGCGCATCTATCTATTTACTTTACAAGCCCGGAGCGCGCACTACCGTCTGGATGCATTCCGACGTGTGTTTTCGAATCGAACATATGCTGCGTAAGAGTTGCTGCAGCCAGGTGAGGCGGTTACGAGCAGCTCAACCTTTGGTGCGATTGTACAGACAGATAATTGTCGCTAGGTTGCAAGATCGGATGATTCTTCATCCCAGATGTTAGTGGCAAGCTCGTATTCAGCAGTGTCCAATATTGAGTTGATGATTTTGCATGCCAGTGCACTGAGTGGTACATATGAAATGGATCCGAATATTCTGACGAGTTGTTTTGTGCTCTTGTAGCGTATGTAAAAAGCGTTTGTGCGTTTGTGGTTGTGCCATCACTGATTGGAATGTCGTGATAGCAAAGTCAAGAACGACGTATTGTTGTGGCCGTTGTTGTGATTCGGTCTATGCATGCCGGATCGGTATGTTAATAGTGTGTTGACAGTGGTAACACGTGAGCATGAGGCTCTGGTTGTCGAGCGCTCGCTTCTCGAACGGGAGGCACGTGAATCGATGCCATGTCTCTCCGGCGTGATCATGTTACGATGACAAAACCAGTCAGCACCAGCACATTCCCAAATGTGCACTTCGCAGTTCAACTGCGTCACCAGCTGACCTTGAGTAACACTTTTTTCAGCACATCTTCGGTTGGTAGTCCCTGTTTTGTTGTACTTATCTGACGATGTGTAGACAATTTGCAATCAAAGCTGCGCTATCGATTGATTTGCGCCGCGTCAAGTCTTGATTCTTCTTGCTGTCTTACTTGACAGTATTGTAAAGACGAACAGAAACCACTCGGCTCTGTACATGACTGATGAGGCGCATCTATCTATTTACTTTACAAGCCCGGAGCGCGCACTACCGTCTGGATGCATTCCGACGTGTGTTTTCGAATCGAACATATGCTGCGTAAGAGTTGCTGCAGCCAGGTGAGGCGGTTACGAGCAGCTCAACCTTTGGTGCGATTGTACAGACAGATAATTGTCGCTAGGTTGCAAGATCGGATGATTCTTCATCCCAGATGTTAGTGGCAAGCTCGTATTCAGCAGTGTCCAATATTGAGTTGATGATTTTGCATGCCAGTGCACTGAGTGGTACATATGAAATGGATCCGAATATTCTGACGAGTTGTTTTGTGCTCTTGTAGCGTATGTAAAAAGCGTTGTGCGTTTGTGGTTGTGCCATCACTGATTGGAATGTCGTGATAGCAAAGTCAAGAACGACGTATTGTTGTGGCCGTTGTTGTGATTCGGTCTATGCATGCCGGATCGGTATGTTAATAGTGTGTTGACAGTGGTAACACGTGAGCATGAGGCTCTGGTTGTCGAGCGCTCGCTTCTCGAACGGGAGGCACGTGAATCGATGCCATGTCTCTCCGGCGTGATCATGTTACGATGACAAAACCAGTCAGCACCAGCACATTCCCAAATGTGCACTTCGCAGTTCAACTGCGTCACCAGCTGACCTTGAGTAACACTTTTTTCAGCACATCTTCGGTTGGTAGTCCCTGTTTTGTTGTACTTATCTGACGATGTGTAGACAATTTGCAATCAAAGCTGCGCTATCGATTGATTTGCGCCGCGTCAAGTCTTGATTCTTCTGGCTGTCTTACTTGACAGTATTGTAAAGACGAACAGAAACCACTCGGCTCTGTACATGACTGATGAGGCGCATCTATCTATTTACTTTACAAGCCCGGAGCGCGCACTACCGTCTGGATGCATTCCGACGTGTGTTTTCGAATCGAACATATGCTGCGTAACAGTTGCTGCAGCCAGGTGAGGCGGTTACGAGCAGCTCAACCTTTGGTGCGATTGTACAGACAGATAATTGTCGCTAGGTTGCAAGATCGGATGATTCTTCATCCCAGATGTTAGTGGCAAGCTCGTATTCAGCAGTGTCCAATATTGAGTTGATGATTTTGCATGCCAGTGCACTGAGTGGTACATATGAAATGGATCCGAATATTCTGACGAGTTGTTTTGTGCTCTTGTAGCGTATGTAAAAAGCGTTGTGCGTTTGTGGTTGTGCCATCACTGATTGGAATGTCGTGATAGCAAAGTCAAGAACGACGTATTGTTGTGGCCGTTGTTGTGATTCGGTCTATGCATGCCGGATCGGTATGTTAATAGTGTGTTGACAGTGGTAACACGTGAGCATGAGGCTCTGGTTGTCGAGCGCTCGCTTCTCGAACGGGAGGCACGTGAATCGATGCCATGTCTCTCCGGCGTGATCATGTTACGATGACAAAACCAGTCAGCACCAGCACATTCCCAAATGTGCACTTCGCAGTTCAACTGCGTCACCAGCTGACCTTGAGTAACACTTTTTTCAGCACATCTTCGGTTGGTAGTCCCTGTTTTGTTGTACTTATCTGACGATGTGTAGACAATTTGCAATCAAAGCTGCGCTATCGATTGATTTGCGCCGCGTCAAGTCTTGATTCTTCTTGCTGTCTTACTTGACAGTATTGTAAAGACGAACAGAAACCACTCGGCTCTGTACATGACTGATGAGGCGCATCTATCTATTTACTTTACAAGCCCGGAGCGCGCACTACCATCTGGATGCATTCCGACGTGTGTTTTCGAATCGAACATATGCTGCGTAAGAGTTGCTGCAGCCAGGTGAGGCGGTTACGAGCAGCTCAACCTTTGGTGCGATTGTACAGACAGATAATTGTCGCTAGGTTGCAAGATCGGATGATTCTTCATCCCAGATGTTAGTGGCAAGCTCGTATTCAGCAGTGTCCAATATTGAGTTGATGATTTTGCATGCCAGTGCACTGAGTGGTACATATGAAATGGATCCGAATATTCTGACGAGTTGTTTTGTGCTCTTGTAGCGTATGTAAAAAGCGTTGTGCGTTTGTGGTTGTGCCATCACTGATTGGAATGTCGTGATAGCAAAGTCAAGAACGACGTATTGTTGTGGCCGTTGTTGTGATTCGGTCTATGCATGCCGGATCGGTATGTTAATAGTGTGTTGACAGTGGTAACACGTGAGCATGAGGCTCTGGTTGTCGAGCGCTCGCTTCTCGAACGGGAGGCACGTGAATCGATGCCATGTCTCTCCGGCGTGATCATGTTACGATGACAAAACCAGTCAGCACCAGCACATTCCCAAATGTGCACTTCGCAGTTCAACTGCGTCACCAGCTGACCTTGAGTAACACTTTTTTCAGCACATCTTCGGTTGGTAGTCCCTGTTTTGTTGTACTTATCTGACGATGTGTAGACAATTTGCAATCAAAGCTGCGCTATCGATTGATTTGCGCCGCGTCAAGTCTTGATTCTTCTTGCTGTCTTACTTGACAGTATTGTAAAGACGAACAGAAACCACTCGGCTCTGTACATGACTGATGAGGCGCATCTATCTATTTACTTTACAAGCCCGGAGCGCGCACTACCGTCTGGATGAATTCCGACGTGTGTTTTCGAATCGAACATATGCTGCGTAAGAGTTGCTGCAGCCAGGTGAGGCGGTTACGAGCAGCTCAACCTTTGGTGCGATTGTACAGACAGATAATTGTCGCTAGGTTGCAAGATCGGATGATTCTTCATCCCAGATGTTAGTGGCAAGCTCGTATTCAGCAGTGTCCAATATTGAGTTGATGATTTTGCATGCCAGTGCACTGAGTGGTACATATGAAATGGATCCGAATATTCTGACGAGTTGTTTTGTGCTCTTGTAGCGTATGTAAAAAGCGTTGTGCGTTTGTGGTTGTGCCATCACTGATTGGAATGTCGTGATAGCAAAGTCAAGAACGACGTATTGTTGTGGCCGTTGTTGTGATTCGGTCTATGCATGCCGGATCGGTATGTTAATAGTGTGTTGACAGTGGTAACACGTGAGCATGAGGCTCTGGTTGTCGAGCGCTCGCTTCTCGAACGGGAGGCACGTGAATCGATGCCATGCATCTCCGGCGTGATCATGTTACGATGACAAAACCAGTCAGCACCAGCACATTCCCAAATGTGCACTTCGCAGTTCAACTGCGTCACCAGCTGACCTTGAGTAACACTTTTTTCAGCACATCTTCGGTTGGTAGTCCCTGTTTTGTTGTACTTATCTGACGATGTGTAGACAATTTGCAATCAAAGCTGCGCTATCGATTGATTTGCGCCGCGTCAAGTCTTGATTCTTCTGGCTGTCTTACTTGACAGTATTGTAAAGACGAACAGAAACCACTCGGCTCTGTACATGACTGATGAGGCGCATCTATCTATTTACTTTACAAGCCCGGAGCGCGCACTACCGTCTGGATGCATTCCGACGTGTGTTTTCGAATCGAACATATGCTGCGTAACAGTTGCTGCAGCCAGGTGAGGCGGTTACGAGCAGCTCAACCTTTGGTGCGATTGTACAGACAGATAATTGTCGCTAGGTTGCAAGATCGGATGATTCTTCATCCCAGATGTTAGTGGCAAGCTCGTATTCAGCAGTGTCCAATATTGAGTTGATGATTTTGCATGCCAGTGCACTGAGTGGTACATATGAAATGGATCCGAATATTCTGACGAGTTGTTTTGTGCTCTTGTAGCGTATGTAAAAAGCGTTGTGCGTTTGTGGTTGTGCCATCACTGATTGGAATGTCGTGATAGCAAAGTCAAGAACGACGTATTGTTGTGGCCGTTGTTGTGATTCGGTCTATGCATGCCGGATCGGTATGTTAATAGTGTGTTGACAGTGGTAACACGTGAGCATGAGGCTCTGGTTGTCGAGCGCTCGCTTCTCGAACGGGAGGCACGTGGATCGATGCCATGTCATCTCCGGCGTGATCATGTTACGATGACAAAACCAGTCAGCACCAGCACATTCCCAAATGTGCACTTCGCAGTTCAACTGCGTCACCAGCTGACCTTGAGTAACACTTTTTTCAGCACATCTTCGGTTGGTAGTCCCTGTTTTGTTGTACTTATCTGACGATGTGTAGACAATTTGCAATCAAAGCTGCGCTATCGATTGATTTGCGCCGCGTCAAGTCTTGATTCTTCTTGCTGTCTTACTTGACAGTATTGTAAAGACGAACAGAAACCACTCGGCTCTGTACATGACTGATGAGGCGCATCTATCTATTTACTTTACAAGCCCGGAGCGCGCACTACCGTCTGGATGCATTCCGACGTGTGTTTTCGAATCGAACATATGCTGCGTAAGAGTTGCTGCAGCCAGGTGAGGCGGTTACGAGCAGCTCAACCTTTGGTGCGATTGTACAGACAGATAATTGTCGCTAGGTTGCAAGATCGGATGATTCTTCATCCCAGATGTTAGTGGCAAGCTCGTATTCAGCAGTGTCCAATATTGAGTTGATGATTTTGCATGCCAGTGCACTGAGTGGTACATATGAAATGGATCCGAATATTCTGACGAGTTGTTTTGTGCTCTTGTAGCGTATGTAAAAAGCGTTGTGCGTTTGTGGTTGTGCCATCACTGATTGGAATGTCGTGATAGCAAAGTCAAGAACGACGTATTGTTGTGGCCGTTGTTGTGATTCGGTCTATGCATGCCGGATCGGTATGTTAATAGTGTGTTGACAGTGGTAACACGTGAGCATGAGGCTCTGGTTGTCGAGCGCTCGCTTCTCGAACGGGAGGCACGTGGATCGATGCCATGTCTCTCCGGCGTGATCATGTTACGATGACAAAACCAGTCAGCACCAGCACATTCCCAAATGTGCACTTCGCAGTTCAACTGCGTCACCAGCTGACCTTGAGTAACACTTTTTTCAGCACATCTTCGGTTGGTAGTCCCTGTTTTGTTGTACTTATCTGACGATGTGTAGACAATTTGCAATCAAAGCTGCGCTATCGATTGATTTGCGCCGCGTCAAGTCTTGATTCTTCTTGCTGTCTTACTTGACAGTATTGTAAAGACGAACAGAAACCACTCGGCTCTGTACATGACTGATGAGGCGCATCTATCTATTTACTTTACAAGCCCGGAGCGCGCACTACCATCTGGATGCATTCCGACGTGTGTTTTCGAATCGAACATATGCTGCGTAACAGTTGCTGCAGCCAGGTGAGGCGGTTACGAGCAGCTCAACCTTTGGTGCGATTGTACAGACAGATAATTGTCGCTAGGTTGCAAGATCGGATGATTCTTCATCCCAGATGTTAGTGGCAAGCTCGTATTCAGCAGTGTCCAATATTGAGTTGATGATTTTGCATGCCAGTGCACTGAGTGGTACATATGAAATGGATCCGAATATTCTGACGAGTTGTTTTGTGCTCTTGTAGCGTATGTAAAAAGCGTTGTGCGTTTGTGGTTGTGCCATCACTGATTGGAATGTCGTGATAGCAAAGTCAAGAACGACGTATTGTTGTGGCCGTTGTTGTGATTCGGTCTATGCATGCCGGATCGGTATGTTAATAGTGTGTTGACAGTGGTAACACGTGAGCATGAGGCTCTGGTTGTCGAGCGCTCGCTTCTCGAACGGGAGGCACGTGAATCGATGCCATGCATCTCCGGCGTGATCATGCTACGATGACAAAACCAGTCAGCACCCGCACATTCCCAAATGTGCACTTCGCAGTTCAACTGCGTCACCAGCTGACCTTGAGTAACACTTTTTTCAGCACATCTTCGGTTGGTAGTCCCTGTTTTGTTGTACTTATCTGACGATGTGTAGACAATTTGCAATCAAAGCTGTGCCATCGATTGATTTGCGCCGCGTCAAGTCTTGATTCTTCTTGCTGTCTTACTTGACAGTATTGTAAAGACGAACAGAAACCACTCGGCTCTGTACATGACTGATGAGGCGCATCTATCTATTTACTTTACAAGCCCGGAGCGCGCACTACCATCTGGATGCATTCCGACGTGTGTTTTCGAATCGAACATATGCTGCGTAACAGTTGCTGCAGCCAGGTGAGGCGGTTACGAGCAGCTCAACCTTTGGTGCGATTGTACAGACAGATAATTGTCGCTAGGTTGCAAGATCGGATGATTCTTCATCCCAGATGTTAGTGGCAAGCTCGTATTCAGCAGTGTCCAATATTGAGTTGATGATTTTGCATGCCAGTGCACTGAGTGGTACATATGAAATGGATCCGAATATTCTGACGAGTTGTTTTGTGCTCTTGTAGCGTATGTAAAAAGCGTTGTGCGTTTGTGGTTGTGCCATCACTGATTGGAATGTCGTGATAGCAAAGTCAAGAACGACGTATTGTTGTGGCCGTTGTTGTGATTCGGTCTATGCATGCCGGATCGGTATGTTAATAGTGTGTTGACAGTGGTAACACGTGAGCATGAGGCTCTGGTTGTCGAGCGCTCGCTTCTCGAACGGGAGGCACGTGAATCGATGCCATGCATCTCCGGCGTGATCATGCTACGATGACAAAACCAGTCAGCACCCGCACATTCCCAAATGTGCACTTCGCAGTTCAACTGCGTCACCAGCTGACCTTGAGTAACACTTTTTTCAGCACATCTTCGGTTGGTAGTCCCTGTTTTGTTGTACTTATCTGACGATGTGTAGACAATTTGCAATCAAAGCTGTGCCATCGATTGATTTGCGCCGCGTCAAGTCTTGATTCTTCTTGCTGTCTTACTTGACAGTATTGTAAAGACGAACAGAAACCACTCGGCTCTGTACATGACTGATGAGGCGCATCTATCTATTTACTTTACAAGCCCGGAGCGCGCACTACCGTCTGGATGCATTCCGACGTGTGTTTTCGAATCGAACATATGCTGCGTAACAGTTGCTGCAGCCAGGTGAGGCGGTTACGAGCAGCTCAACCTTTGGTGCGATTGTACAGACAGATAATTGTCGCTAGGTTGCAAGATCGGATGATTCTTCATCCCAGATGTTAGTGGCAAGCTCGTATTCAGCAGTGTCCAATATTGAGTTGATGATTTTGCATGCCAGTGCACTGAGTGGTACATATGAAATGGATCCGAATATTCTGACGAGTTGTTTTGTGCTCTTGTAGCGTATGTAAAAGCGTTGTGCGTTTGTGGTTGTGCCATCACTGATTGGAATGTCGTGATAGCAAAGTCAAGAACGACGTATTGTTGTGGCCGTTGTTGTGATTCGGTCTATGCATGCCGGATCGGTATGTTAATAGTGTGTTGACAGTGGTAACACGTGAGCATGAGGCTCTGGTTGTCGAGCGCTCGCTTCTCGAACGGGAGGCACGTGAATCGATGCCATGCATCTCCGGCGTGATCATGCTACGATGACAAAACCAGTCAGCACCCGCACATTCCCAAATGTGCACTTCGCAGTTCAACTGCGTCACCAGCTGACCTTGAGTAACACTTTTTTCAGCACATCTTCGGTTGGTAGTCCCTGTTTTGTTGTACTTATCTGACGATGTGTAGACAATTTGCAATCAAAGCTGTGCCATCGATTGATTTGCGCCGCGTCAAGTCTTGATTCTTCTTGCTGTCTTACTTGACAGTATTGTAAAGACGAACAGAAACCACTCGGCTCTGTACATGACTGATGAGGCGCATCTATCTATTTACTTTACAAGCCCGGAGCGCGCACTACCATCTGGATGCATTCCGACGTGTGTTTTCGAATCGAACATATGCTGCGTAACAGTTGCTGCAGCCAGGTGAGGCGGTTACGAGCAGCTCAACCTTTGGTGCGATTGTACAGACAGATAATTGTCGCTAGGTTGCAAGATCGGATGATTCTTCATCCCAGATGTTAGTGGCAAGCTCGTATTCAGCAGTGTCCAATATTGAGTTGATGATTTTGCATGCCAGTGCACTGAGTGGTACATATGAAATGGATCCGAATATTCTGACGAGTTGTTTTGTGCTCTTGTAGCGTATGTAAAAAGCGTTGTGCGTTTGTGGTTGTGCCATCACTGATTGGAATGTCGTGATAGCAAAGTCAAGAACGACGTATTGTTGTGGCCGTTGTTGTGATTCGGTCTATGCATGCCGGATCGGTATGTTAATAGTGTGTTGACAGTGGTAACACGTGAGCATGAGGCTCTGGTTGTCGAGCGCTCGCTTCTCGAACGGGAGGCACGTGGATCGATGCCATGCATCTCCGGCGTGATCATGCTACGATGACAAAACCAGTCAGCACCAGCACATTCCCAAATGTGCACTTCGCAGTTCAACTGCGTCACCAGCTGACCTTGAGTAACACTTTTTTCAGCACATCTTCGGTTGGTAGTCCCTGTTTTGTTGTACTTATCTGACGATGTGTAGACAATTTGCAATCAAAGCTGCGCTATCGATTGATTTGCGCCGCGTCAAGTCTTGATTCTTCTTGCTGTCTTACTTGACAGTATTGTAAAGACGAACAGAAACCACTCGGCTCTGTACATGACTGATGAGGCGCATCTATCTATTTACTTTACAAGCCCGGATCGCGCACTACCGTCTGGATGAATTCCGACGTGTGTTTTCGAATCGAACATATGCTGCGTAACAGTTGCTGCAGCCAGGTGAGGCGGTTACGAGCAGCTCAACCTTTGGTGCGATTGTACAGACAGATAATTGTCGCTAGGTTGCAAGATCGGATGATTCTTCATCCCAGATGTTAGTGGCAAGCTCGTATTCAGCAGTGTCCAATATTGAGTTGATGATTTTGCATGCCAGTGCACTGAGTGGTACATATGAAATGGATCCGAATATTCTGACGAGTTGTTTTGTGCTCTTGTAGCGTATGTAAAAAGCGTTGTGCGTTTGTGGTTTGTG